ACTCATACAACAAATGAATGCCGTCTTTCTATATCTGTCCCTCTCTTTCTGGCTCATTTCACTCAGCGTAATACTCTCCAAGTCTTTGCACTTATAGGCAAATTTCACGACTTCATTTTTCCTAACATCAGCTATATTTTAAAGCCAGTGACAGGGCTGAAGCGTTAGCACAACTGGGAAGGCGTTTGCCTTGCACACGGCCGATGGGTATGATTCCCAGCATCCCATAGGCTCCCCTGAGCACCACCAGGAGCAATTCCTGAGTGCATGAGCCAGGAGTAACCCCTGTGCATCAGCGGGTGTGACCCAAAAAAGAAAAAAAAATAACCAACTTGTGGAAGGTTAGGAATTAACGTAGTCTGACTCCAACCCTCCTGTTTAGCTCTGATCTATATCATTTATAAACATGTATTGACTTGATTGGGCCGGGAAATTTATTTCTTGGCTTCCTGAAGGATTTCCTGAGTTGAAAATTGGATTGCCTGAGGATGTCAGATACTGCATTTTGCCGAGAACATTGTGTTCCATCATTCTGAGTTTGCATATCATTTTCAGTTCTACCATTATGCAATGTGAAACTATTATTTAGAAATTAAAGTATCATGATTTATCATCACACCTTCAGCTAATTGTTTCCTGAAGAATGAGACAGCACCCTCCTTTATTCTGACAAAAACTCCCTTCGCATTCAATCACCATGTCAAACGCTAATTATTTTTTTCTTTTTGGGCCACACCTGGTGTTTCTCAGGGCTGACTCCTGGCTCTGCACTCAGGAATTACTCCTGACAGTGCATGGGGGTGGGGGGGACAAGATGAGATGCTGGGGATCGAACCCGGGTCAGCTGTGCAAGGCAAATACTCTACCAACTGAACTATTGCTCCAGCCCCTCAAACACTAAATCTGGCATATCCTAATGAGGCTAGATTTTACTAGATCCCTTGAAATTATAACAAAATTATTGTCAGGGCTTCTAGACTAGGAAAATTAAGACATTGTCACATAGCTTATAGGAAAGACCAATTAACACTTGTTCTATGGATGCACAGGTGGATTAGTGAATGGGTGAGTGGGAGAGTAGATGGTGGGTGAAAGTGTAGATGGGTAAAACAATGAGAAAGAATGTGCAACAGAATAGCCAGAATCTGGAAAAAAGCCCGAGTGCCTGGGAACAGATAACTGGTTAAAGAAAGTTTGGTACATCTACGCAATGGAATACTATGCAGCTGTTAAAAGGGATGAAGTCCTGAAATTTGCATATGAGTGGGTCAACATGGAGAGTATCATGCTAAGTGAAATGAGTCAGAAAGAGAGGGACAGACATAGAAAGATTGCACTCATTTGTGGAATATAAAGTAACAGAATGGGAGACTAACATGCAAGAATAGTAGAGATAGGTACCAGGAGGTTTGCTCCACAGCTTGGAAGCCAGCCTCACATGCTGGGGGAAAAGGCAGCTCAGATAAAGTAGGGACCAAGTAAAGGGTGTTTGGAGATCCAGCTCGGGATGGGAGATGCGTGCCGAAAGTAGACTTATAGACCAAAAATGATGGCCATTCAATACTTGCATTGCAGACCACAACACCTAAAAAGGAGAGAATTAAAGGGAATGCGCCTGACACAGAGGCAGGGGGTGGGGAATATGGGGGGATGGGAGGGACACTAGGAACCTTGGTGGTGGAGAACCAGCACCGGTGGAGGGATGGGTTCTCGATCATTGTTTGACTGAAACATAAAGCATGAAAGTTTATAAGTTGTGCAATTGTACCTCATGGTGATCCATTAAAAAATTAAAATTAAAATTAAATGAAGTTTAGGTAAGGTAAGGTAAAGGCCCTCCCGTTGATCGTCGATTTGCTCGAGCGGGCCCAGTAACGTCTCCATTGGAGACTTTGTTGTTACTGTGTCTGGCATATCGAATACTCTCGGTAGCTTGCCGGGCTCTCCGAGAGGGGCGGAGGAATCGAACTCGGGTCGGCCATGTTGGCCGCGTGTAAGGCGAACGCCCTATCGCTGTGCTATCGAAAATGAAGTTTAAAAATAAATAAAAAGAAAATTAGAAAGAATGTGTAAGGGAGGGAAGGGGATCTTGACTAATATAGGCCTCTGTTTACCAAGGATACTAGATATCAATTTTTTCGCTTTTTTTTTTTTTTTGCTTTTTGGGTCACACCCAGCAATGCACAGGGGTTCCTCCTGGCTCTGCGCTCAGGAATTACCCCTGGCAGTGCTCAGTGGACCCTATGGGATGCTGGGAATTGAACCCGGGTTGGCCGCGTGCAAGGCAAACGCCCTACCCCTGTGCTATTGCTCCAGCCCCTAGATATCATTCTTAGGCTGTATGATCTGAGAAGAAATACTGTGTTCTCTTTGCTGACTTAATCAGGCAACTGATAACCAGGAGGTTGCAACAGCGGCAGACCTAGAATCAGGCACCCACAGTTTATGTTTCTTTGGGCAGTTTGATATCAAGTAAGGCCCTCATACAGATAGTTCAGAAATGACGCTTTTCTGACTTGGCGGTCAGCCAACAGCCAGCTGAGACAGATGCTAGTTCCAAGACCTCTGGCTTCTTCCTTAACAACAGCACCAGCGAGAACCAAATTTCTGGATTCTAGAACATTCCCTGGTACAGAAGAAGGGGCTAAAGCCCGAGGGAATGAACAGGGACAGGCACACAATTTTTTTTTTCTTTTTGAGTCACAGCTGGCGATGCACAGGGGTCCCTCCTGGCTCTGCACTCAGGAATCACTCCTGGCGGTGCTCAGGGGACCCTGTGGGATGCTGGGACTCGAACCCGGGTCGGCCGTGTGCAAGGCAAACGCCCTACTCAGTGTGCTATAGCTCCAGCCCCAGGAATAAGCATTCTGGACCTTTCGTGGTGCTTAGATTAGAAATAAATATTTTCCTTTCTTTACTGTGGAAGAGACAATGGTTCTATTCAAGTCTGGCTAAGTGGCTTCAGTTGATGTCTGTGTTCCTACAAATTCCCCATGTCTATACTCGAACGCTGAGTCTAGCCAGCAATAAGCCCCTGTGGGCTTCTCAACGGTCTCTGCAGACTTTAGAAGCATTGGTGACGTGTTGGTGTCCAGGGCATCGACGGGCCATACTCGGCTCGGGTCATAATTTCACAGGACAGCCATTCTCATGGAAGGCTCTTCCTTGGAGGAGAGAAAAAATGAGAAAAATCAGCTCTCTCTCTCTCTCTCTCTCTCTCTCTCTCTCCTCTCCTCTCCTCTCCTCTCCTCTCTCTCCTCTCTCTCTCTCTCTCCTCTCTCTCTTTCCTCTCTCTCTCTCTCACGCACATACACACACCCTCTTCTCTCTTGTACACACACTCATTCTTCTTTCTTTTTTTAATTTTTATTTTAATAAATCACCGTGAGATGCAGTTACAGACTAACAAACTTTCGTGATGGCGTTTCAGTCATACAGTGCTCGAGTACCCATCCCTCCACCAGTGCCCATTCTCCACCACCAATGTTCCCAGTATCCCTCCCCCCACCCCCACCCCACCCCTTCCCACCCCCTGCCTCTGTGGCAGACACATTCCCTCTTTCTCTCTCTCTCTCTCTCTCTCTCTCTCTCTCTCTCTCTCTCTCTCTCTCCTTTCGGGTGTTATGGTTTGCAACATGGGCACTAAGTAGCCATCATGTTTGGTCCATAGTCTACTTTCAGCACCCATCTCGCATCCCAAGCGAGCCCTCCAACCATCATTTGCTTAGTGGTCTCTTCTCCATCCCACCTGTCTTTTCTTCCATCACATGAGATCGGCTCCCAAGCCGTGGGCCCACCCTCCTGGCCTTTATCTCTAATATCCTTAGGTGTTATTCTCCAATGATGTTACTGTAAACTCCACAGATGGGTGCACTCATTCTGTGTCTGGCCTGCTCTTTCTGACTCATTTCGCTTCGCATGATACTCTCCATGTTGATCCACTTATATTCAAATTTCATGATTTTGTCTTTTCTAACAGCTGCATAGTATTCCATTGTGTAGATATACCAAAGTTTCTTTAACCAGTCATCTGTTCTTGGGCACTTGGGTTTTGTCCAGATTCAGGCTATTGTAAATAGTGCTGTAAATAAACATACAAGTGCAGATGTCATTTCTACTGTGCATTTTTGCATCTCCGGGATATATTCCCAGAAGTAGTATTGCTGGGTCAAATGGGAGCTCAATTTCTAGTTTTTTTTAGTAACATCCATATTGTTTTCCAAAAAGGCTGGACCATTTGACATTCCCACCAGCAATGAAGGAGAGTCCCCTTCTCCCCACATCCATGCCAGCAGTGGTTGCTTTTGTTTTTTTGGATGTGTGTCAGTCTCTGTGGTGTGACACTCTTCTCTCTTGTACACACACACTCACACACGCACACACACACACACTCAAATTCTCTATTTTTCTCTCCCATTCACAATCCAAGCAATGGTTTCTTTTTTTGTTTGTTTGTTTTGGGGGGTTTTGTTTTGTTTTTTGTTTTTTTTTTTGGGTTTTTTTTTTTTTTTGGTTTTTGGGTCACACCTGGTGATGCTCAGGAATTACTCCTGGCTCTGCACTCAGGAATGACTCCTGACCATATGGGTTGCTGGGAATTGAACCCGTGCAAGTCCAATACCCTACCTGCTGTGCTATCGCTCCAGTCCCCAAGCACTGGTTTCAAGAGAGGGAGAAGAGGGGAGCGGTCTCCCCAGAATTTCAGCAGGGGCTCCTGGTTGTAATGACTGATGCTTACAGGATAGAGATAGGAATGCAAAATGTCTTTCTGAGTGCCCAAAGCATTGTCCCTTTGCTGCTCCATCCCTGGAGACAGTCCCTCTGGGTACCAACACCGGAAGTCCCCCCAAACTCATGCGCTCACTGCACCCATGCCCACCCTTATCACCTGGAAATTTCCCTCACCCCTTAGTCATAAACGAAGTTCCTCTCCAGCGCGTGTGAAGCTGAGAAGAAGCCTCCAAGGTTTTGCTTCATCCTACTTTGATTCGGTTCCCTAGGATAAGGTTGAAGAAGGCCGGGCCAGTATCTACCAGTCCGTCATCACCAACACCAGCAAAGAAATGTCTTGTTTCAGCGACTTCCCCATGCCGGAAGACTTCCCCAACTTCCTGCACAATTCTAAGCTCCTGGAATATTTCAGGATTTTCGCCCAAAAGTTTGATCTGCTCAAATATATTCAATTCAAGGTATTTTATTGGGGGGGAGGGGAGGCTGGGGAAAAATGAGGAAGGGAGGGTTTCCTTGGCCTTATCATATATAGTACTGTAGCACTGTCCTCCCGTTGTTCATCAATTTGCTCGAGCGGGCACCAGTAACGTCTCCATGGTGAGACTTGTGGTTACTGTGTTTGGCATCTCGAATACGACACGGGGAGCTTGCCAGGCTCTGCCATGCGGACGGGATTACTCTCGGTAGCTGGCCAGGCTCTCCGAGAGGGATGGAGGAATTGAACCCAGGTCGGCAGTGTACAAGACAAACCTCCTACCCAATGTTCTATCACTCCAGCCCATATATATATATATATATGTATATATATATATATATATATATATATATATAGTGACCATGATTGAGGGAAAAAATGGGGACTAAAATAAAAGATTCCTAACTATGCATGGATAGAAGCACAATAGGAAATTCTGGAAAAATCCTCATGAGTAGGGTTGGCCTTGGCCTCACATGAGGCCAACCCGGGTTCGATCCCCAGCATCCCATAGGGGCCCCTGAGCACTTTCAGGAGTGATTCCTGAGTGCAAAGCCAGAAGGAACCCCTGAGCATCACCAGCTGTGACCCCCCCAAAACTGTTGGTTAAAAAGAAAACTGTGAAGGGGCTGGAGTGATATAGCACAGTGGGGAGGGCGTTGGCCTTGCCCTCGGCCGACCCTGGTCCAATCCTCGGCATCCCATAGGGTCCCCCGAGCACCACCAGGAGTGATTCCTGAGTGCAGAGCCAGGAGGAACCCCTGAGCATGACCAGGTGTGACCTCCCCCAAAACCTTTGGTTAAAGAGAAAAGTGTGAATCAGGTGAGAAAGTTCTAGAATGTGATTCTCTGCTGTGAGCTGCGCTGGTGCAGACACCCAGAGAGGGTCTAGTGGTACCCGGGCCCCTGCTCCCAGGATGCTGAGCCCAGCAGCTATTGTGTCTGTCTGAGTCATTCTGAGCTGCCCAATCCCGTGTTCACCCCCAGACAACTGTCCTCAGCGTGAAAAGGCGCCCGGACTTCTCCTCCTCCGGCCAGTGGGAGGTGGTTACTGTGTGCAATGGTCAGGAACAAAAGGCCATCTTCGACGCCGTGATGGTTTGCAGTGGTCATCACATACTCCCTTACCTCCCACTCGACGCCTTTCCAGGTGAGCTACTCGTCTTGGGAAAGGGATGAGGGCGGGATTGGTTGCCCTGGCAGGGCCTAGGAGGAAGCGAGCTGGTCAGGAGGGAACGGCCTGGGCATCAAGGGACGGCTCCAGGTTCACTGACTCTTCCCAGATTTCAGACAGTTCTACTGACATCTCTGTCCAGAAAGTTCCACCCAGCTGGGCTACTTCCTTTCCGGCCAAAATGCTCCAGGTTGTCATGTCCACACACCCTTTGCTGCAGTACCAAGACAGAAAGAGAGTGGACAGAGAGACTTAGGAACCTGGACAGGGCAGGAGAAAGGCCCTGGGTGGTGGGGGGAGCCGTGGGGGTTGGGGGCACAAGCCTGCAGCCTCGACTCTGTCGCGACACCCCTCACCGTCCTTTCACGTAAGTTTCCTCACCCAGCCCTGAGCTGCCTGAGGAGGTTCTGTGCCCCTCCAGAGTTCACTGGTCAAGCCCAGAACAATCTACTGTGGTTTATTCCCGTGACTTAATATGTCACCTAGAGACTTACTGACCAACTGGAGGGTTTTATTTATTTATTTATTTACTTACTTATTTATTTATTTTGCTTTTTTTGTGCCCCACCCAGGCTGGCCCCTGGCTCTGCACGTGGGAATCACTCCTGGCGGTGCTCGGGGGACCCTATGGGATGTCGGGAATCGAACCCAAGTCAACCGTGTGCAAGGCAAACACACCCGGCTTTTTAAAGTGTCAGTCAGAGGAAGGAGCAATAGCATGGCAGATTTGGAGCTTGTCTTGCATACGACTGACCGACCCAGGTTCAATCCCCAGCATCCCATATGGTCCCCTGTGCCCTGCCAGAAGTGAGCCCTGAGCACTGCCGGGATGGCCCCCAAACAAACGATACACAACAACAACAAAAAAAACAATTCACAAGATGCCTCTACCATTTCCAGCCCGGGTCCGACTTGAGGTGGCGTTACTGACAGGGTCCCAGGTGACCTTCGCACAGCTGGTCAAGGGACCACGCAGTGAGAACGCATGACAAAATCTTCTTAGATGCAACCTATTACGATCCCTTAGCAAAGTCCTGTACAGTGAGTTATAGCTCAAGGCAGGGAGGAAAGTCACTTCAACTCCCATCCATGGGCCTGGTTTGACTTTGTTCAGTTTCTGCTCACTTTTGCAAAATATGAATGGCAAATAGTATTATAATCATGATCACTTGATCACTTGACTTCCCGTTAATCGTCGATTTGCTCGAGCGGGCTCCAGTAACGTCTCCATTTGTCCCTGTCGCGTGCTAGTGTAGCCCAATGGCATCTGTTCGCTCTAGGAACACGATAATTATGATAAATTTAGAATAACGTCACTTTGTGATGTTTAAAAACTAAATGCTGTGGGCTGGAGTGATAGCACAGCGGGTAGGGCATTTGCCTTGCATGCGTCCGACCTGGGTTCAATTCCCAGCATCCCATAGGGCCCCCCTGAGCACTGCCAGGAGTGATTCCTGAGTGCAGAGCCAGGAATCAGCCCTGAGCATCGCAGAGTGTGACCCAAAAAGCCAAAAAAAAAAAAGAGAAGAAGAAGCTATGAATGTATCATTATTCAATTCAAAGTAAGAGAATAAATAGCTGGAAGTTGGTATCTGACCCTTGGCTGTTACTCGTCAGAACTATTTTTTCAAAACCATAGAGAAATATATCACGAATCACGAATCACGACCATCCTGTTATTCGTCGATTGCCTCGAGCAGGTCCCAGTAACGTCTCCTTCATCCTAGCCCTGAGATTTTTAAGAAAGTGCTATATTCAAGGCTCTTTAGGAGAATGAGACCCATCATTGGTACTGGGTTTTGGCATATTGGGGACGCCACGGGGAGTTTGCCAGACTCTGCCATGTGGGCAGGCTACATTCGGTAACCTGCCAGTTGTCCAAAGTAGGAATGAGATAATAAGATGTCGTGCGGCCGCAAATGTGGCCACGCGGTTCCGGGAGCTGGTTTTTATAGTCTCTGAGTCTTGGCCGTTGATGGGATTACACGGTGCCAGAGGGCCAGTTGGTGGGTGTGACCCCCGCCTACTGGAATTCGGAGGATCTGGGTGGAGGATGCTCAGCCCTGATCCGAGTAGGCTTGGAGATCTCAGCCCCGGGACCCGCTTGCCTTTGTTTCTCTGCCGGTACCTTCAGGTGTGCGGAGAGTGGTCTCAGCATGGTGGTGGCTGGTCCTGGAGAGAAATATATATATATATTTATAAATAAATAAATATATATGTATATATATATATATATATATATATATATATCTTGGAGAGCCCGGCAAGCTACCAAGAGTATCCTGCCCACACAGGCAGAGCCTGGCAAGCTCCCTGTGGCGTATTCGATATGCCAAGAACAATAACAGGTCTCATTCCCCCGACCCTGAAAGAGCCTCCAATCGTTGGGAAAGATGAGTAAGGAGAGGTTGCTAAAATCCCAGGCTGGGAGGAATAGAGACGTTACTGGCACCCGCTCAAGTAAATCGAGGAACAACAGGATGACAGTGATACAGTGATACAGTGAATTCATCTGTAAACTGCAGATTTCTTAGGAAATCGACTCTCTCTCGGTCCTATATCCGAGGTGATGCCTTCCAGGTCTTGCTTGGCCCTTAGGGTTGGTAGTTTGGCCTTGCAAACTGTCCTAGAAGGAAGGACAGGCTGGACCAAAGCTTGAGCCCAGAAAGAAAACACTGAGGGTGCCATTGTATTGAAAAGAATGTTCTGGACCACAGTCTTCTCTCTTTCCTCCCTGAAGGCATTGAGAAGTTCAAAGGTCAGTATTTCCACAGCAGGCAATACAAGCGCCCCGAGGGCTTCGAGGGTAAACGCATCCTGGTGGTTGGAATCGGGAATTCGGCCTCTGACATCGCTGTGGAGCTGAGCAAGAAGGCGGCTCAGGTAGGGAAGGTTGCTGGGGTCGGGGACTCTGCCCTCCCACTGAGGGGTAAGCGGAGGGTCAGAGTTCAAACTAACTCATCACTGTCCAGATGAACCTGTCACTCGCTAGTCAGTTGGTTACTGCTGGGTTAGTTGTTCAGTTGATTAGTTGACTAGTGGCTGCTTAACTGGTTCGCTGACCAGCTAGTTGGTAGCTGAGTTGGTTGGTTGATCAATCTTTGTGCTATTGCTTAAAATTTTTTTTAAGTCAAAGGGGCTGGAGTGATAGCACAGCAGGAAGGGCGTTTGCCTTGCACGCTACCAACCCGGGTTCGATTCCCAGCATCCCCTAGGGTCCCCCGAGCACCGCCAGGAGTGATTCCTGAGTGCAGAGCCAGGAGGAACCCCTGAGCATCGTGGGTGGGAGTCCCAAAAAGCAAAAAAATAAACAAATACAAAGCAAACTAGGGGCTGGAGTGACAGCAGTGTGGGGAGGGCGTTTGCCCAGCACGCGGCCGACCCGAGTTCGATCCCCCGCATCCCATAGGGTCCCCCGAGCACCGCCAGGAGTGATTCCTGAGTGCAGAGCCAGGAGGAACCCCTGAGCATCGTGGGTGGGAGTCCCAAAAAGCAAAAAAATAAACAAATACAAAGCAAACTAGGGGCTGGAGTGACAGCAGTGTGGGGAGGGCGTTTGCCCAGCACGCGGCCCACCCGAGTTCGATCCCCCGCATCCCATAGGGTCCCCCGAGCACCGCCAGGAGTGATTCCTGAGTGCAGAGCCGGGAGTCAGCCCTGAGCATTGCTGGATGTGACTCAAAAAAAATTTTTTTAAGTCAAAAAGCCAATTTACCTCACAGTAACCCCATAATCAGCTATGACATAATATGACATACGGCAAGTCATTTCATTTCTGTGGGCAATCATTTTATCTTTTTTTTTTTCAAATAAGATGTTTGAACCAAAAGATCAGCAGAAAAAGCCCTTTTTGTCCCCAGGGGCTGCATGAAAAGTTGAGGTGTTCCTGGATGAGGAAGGGCCTCTTATAAACGTGCAGCCTCTATGAATTCTAGCTGGTGTTACTCAAGGCTCAAGAAAAGAATGATTTAAGGGCTGGACCGAGCAATAGCACAGAGGGAAGGGCATTTGCCTTGCATGTGGCCGACTGGGGGTTCGATTCCCAGCGTCCCATAGGGTCCCCCAGAGCCCCGCCAGGAGTCATTCCTGAGTGCAGAGCCAAGAGTAACCCCTAAGCATTGCTGGGTGTGACCCAAAAAGCAAAAAAAAAAAAAAGAATGATTTAATAGAGTCAGACTCCCAGCCAAGGTCATAAATATTCATGTGGGCACCAGGGGATTGATAATATAGCAACTGAGATGCATGTCTGGCAAGGGTTCAGTTCCCAGCACCATATGGTCTGAGCACTGTTGGGTGCAGCCACGGAGACCCAGCCGCCAGGCACTTCTGGGTGGTCCAGGTATGTCCAGAACCATAAGCCCAAGCAGTACTAATGTCCTTAAGTCCCATCCTGAACCACAAGCCCAGTTAGCCAAGAATAATTTGCCATGCCCACAGACCTCTTAAAAACCACGGAGAGGGCTAGACTGATAGCACAGCGGGGAGGGTGTTGGCCTTGCATGCGGCTGACCCAGGTTCGATTCCCAGTATCCCATATGGTCCCTCGAGCACTGTTAGGAGTGATTCCTGAGTGCTTGAACCAGGAGGAACCCCTGTGCATTGCTCGGTGTGGCCCAAAAGGGGGAAAAAAAACACTGAGGAACCAGCAGGATTGTCCAATGTTTGGAAATTAACACAAGTGTGTGTGTGTGTGTGTGTGTGTGTGTGTGTTGGGTGTGGAGGATAGTTAAGAGAGAGGAGGGTGAAGTAGAACAATAGTTGGAAATGGTCACTCTGGACAAGAACTGTGTATTGAAAGGAGGTCACACGATAACCTTTCAGCATTTGTATCACAAACTATAATGCCTGAAATGAGAGAGAGAAAGAGAGAGGGTGAGAGAGAGGGAGAAGGAGAGAGAGAGAGAGAGAGAAAGAGAGAGAGAGAAGAGAGGTGCCTGCCATAGAGGCAGGCTGGGGTGGGGGGAATTTTGGGGGGTCGGAGGGACCCTGGGGACCCTGGTGCTGGGGAATGTGCCCTGGTGGAGGGACGGGTGTTGGAACACTGTGTGACTGAAACCCAACCAGGAACAGCTTTGTCACGCTCTAAGCTCTTGGATTCCATTTTTCAAAATTCAAAAGTATTTTTTAAAAATAAAACCATGGAGATGGGGCTGGAGCAAGAGCACAGTGAAAAGGGTGTTGGCCTTGCACACGGCTGGCCCGGGTTCGATTCCCAGCATCCCATATGGTTCCCCTGAGCACCGCCAGGAGTAGCTCCTGAGTGCAGAGCCAGGAGGAACCCCTGTGCATCGCCGGGTGGGACCCAAAAAGCAAAAACAAACAAATAAATAAATAAATAAAAATTTTTAAAAAACCACTGAGATGGGACTGGAGCGATAGCACAGTAGGTAGGGTACTTGCCTTGCATGCTGCCAACCCGGGTTCAATCCCTGGCATCCAATAGGGTCTCCCAAGCACCACCAGGAGTGATTCCTGAGTGCAGAGCCAGGAGTAACCCCTGTGTATCACCAGGTGTGACCCAAAAAGCAAAAATAAATAAAAAAATAAATAGATAAAAAATTTTAAAATATAAATAAATAAATATGAAAACATAAAATAAATAAATAAATAAAACCACTGAGATGGGTACTTGCCTTGCACACTGCCAACCCGGGTTCAATCCCTGGCATCCAATAGGGTCTCCCAAGCACCGCCAGGAGTGATTCCTGAGTGTAGAGCCAGGAGGAACCCAAGAGCATTGCCGGGTGGGACCCAAAAAAGCAAAAACTAAAATAAAATAATAAAATAACTAAAACCACTGTGAAGACCTCCCTCAAAATTTCGTGCCTCTGACGCCTTCCTCCACCCAGATCCTCCAAATTCCAGTAGGCGGGGGTCACACCCACCAACTGGCCCCCTGGCGCCATGTAATCCCATCAACAGCCAAGACTCAGACACTATAAAACCCATCTCCCAGAAGTGCGCGGCCACATTCTCGGCCACGTGACATCTTATTATGACATCTTATTATCTCATTCCTACTTTGGACAAACTGGCAGGCTACCGAATGTAACCTGCCCACACGGCAGAGTCTGGCAAACTCCCCGTGGCGTCCCCAATATGCCAAATACCAGTAACAATGATGGGTCTCATTCTCCTAAAGAGCCTTGAATATAATCTCAGGGCTAGGATGAAGGAGACGTTACTGGGGCCTGCTCGAGGCAATCGACGAATAACAGGATGATTTGTGATTTGATTTGTGACGCCTTCCAAACTGTCATCTTTGTCCCTGCTCTGGCTGTCCCTGCTAAGCTACGGTATCTGGGCACCAGCAGCATGATTGGGAGTGCCAGGAAGTCGACCCCTTCCAGGACAGACCCCAGCCCATGTGGGACATGGCGCTAGGCTTCCTTGCAGTTATTCCTTTTCCATGGGCCTGGACCCACCCCAGAGTCCCCAGCCTGGCATGTATAGGCCACACAGGGCCTAAGATGGCCCGTCCACTGCCACACAGCTGGCCTGCCTCTCTCTGTCCCATCTCCTCTTGGCCTGGCCCTGATGAAAGCAGACACGCACACAGAGAGGTTCTTGGAAATATTTAAGCATCATCGCCAAGGCCAACCAGAGTCTGGGCAGGTCAACAGGAGAGCTACAACCCCAGAAACTCAGGGTGTCCATTGTAAAACAACCTCCTCTCCTGGAATCGGCAATACAACACTCTTAGGTGTGCAGTTTCCTGCCTGCCCAGGGAAGGAACAGTGTCCTGCTTTCAGTCGCCTCCCCTTTGACTTGCCAGGTGTTCATCAGCACCAGACACAGTTCCTGGGTGATGAGCCGCATCTCGGAGGATGGATACCCCTGGGACGGGATCTACCACACTCGCTTCAGCGACAAGATCCGGAGCGTTCTACCAAGGGCGGTGCTGAAGTGGATGATGGAGCGGCAGGTGAACCGCTGGTTCAATCACGAGAATTACGGTCTGGAGCCCTACAACAAGTAAGGCTGCTTGCAGCACCCCAAGGATCACTCACGGTGGGGCCTGGAGCGAGAGCACAGCGGGGAGGGCGTTTGGCCTTGCACGCGGCTAACCCAGGTTCGATCCCCGGCATCCAGTATATGACCCCTCAAGCACCACCAGGAGTAATTCCTGAGTGCAGAGCCAGGAGGAACCCCTGAGTATTGCTGGGTGTGACCCAAAAAGCAAAAACAAAAAAACAAAAAACCAGGGATCACTCCCAGGCTGGGTCTGCAAAGAACCCAGAGGTTGGCTTGGCAGGGCTACTGAGAGCTGAGTTTGATTTTGTTTTTTAATTTCATGGAAATATTAATTTTTTTCTTTTATAAGATCATTTTATTTATTTTTTAATTTAAATTTTTATTAGTGAAACATCTTATTATCTCATTCCTACTTTGGACAAACTGGAAGGCTACCGAATGTAACCTGCCCACAGGACAGAGTCTGGCAAACTCCCCGTGGCGTCCCCAATATGCCAAATACCAGTAACAATGAAGGGTCTCATTCTCCTAACTCTGAAAGAGCCTTGAATATAGCACTTTTTAAAAAAATCTCAGGGCTAGGACGAAGGAGACATTACTGGGGCCTGCTCGAGGCAATTGACGAATAACAGGATGGTTGTGATTGATTGATTGATTGATTGATTGTGATTAGTGAAACACCATGAGGAACAGTTGTAGATGTACAAATTTTTGTGCTTGGGTTTCAGTCATACAGTGATTGAGTACCCTGAGGGCTGACTTTGACTCTGTTATACCTTATTATCTCATTCTTACTTTGGACAAACTGGCAGGCTACCGAATGTAACCTGCCCACACAGCAGAGTCTGGCAAACTCCTCGTGGCGTCCCCAATATGCCAAATACCAGTAACAATGATGGGTCTCATTCTCCTAACCCTGAAAGAGCCTTGAATATGGCACTTTTTAAAATCTCAGGGCTAGGGGTTTGGACGAAAGAGATGTTACTGGTGCTTGCTCGAGGCAATCGATGAACAATGGGATGATTGTGATCGTGATCGTGATACCTGGGATCATGGGTTCTTGGATGGAGACAGACAGGCACCCCCACGACAATGCAAGAGCCAAAGGAGTTTTATTCCAGTTGACCACAGAGTGGTCTCTTGACAGTGACCCTGATTCCAAGCAGCAAACAGTTTATATAGGGTTTCAAAGTTAAGCAAGCGTTATGGCCACAGTGGATAGGCCACAGTTAAACAATAGTTTTCAGTAAACAGTTTATAACAGTAACATAAGCTATTCATTCTTTACAGCTAACAAAAGACAATTTACGGGCTGGAGCAATAGCACGGCGGGTTGGGCATTTGCCTTGCACGCGGCCCACCTGGGTTTGATTCTCAGTATTCTGTATGGTCCCCTGAGCACTGCCAGGAATAATTCCTAAGTGCATGAGCCAGGAGTAACCCCTGTGTATCACCAGATGTGACCCAAAAAGCCAAAAAAAAAAGAGAGACAATTTTGGGGGCCTTGTGATTGATTGGTTGAGCCCACTTGCTGGGCCCAGGAACTTTCCAGGTGAGTTCAGGTTGGCGAGTTACACATTGTTTGATTTCTGGGAACCTAAAACTGGTTTAGTTCCAGGAACTGAACCAGAGGTCTACCTGATTTTGCTGATTTCTGCTCCCTGTCATGGTGTCAGTTTTGCCCTTAACAGTTCCAAATGTCTTAACTGTTCTTACGAAGGCGGAGGGGAATGAAGGTCTAAAAAATAGAAGGGGCTGGAACAATAACACATTGAGGAGGGCGTTTGCCTGGTACGTGGCCAACCCAGATTCAGTTCCCAGCATCCCATAGGGTCCCCCGAGCACCGCCAGGAGTAATTCCTGAGTGCAGAGCCAGGAGGAACCCCTGATCATCGTCGGGGATGACCCAAAAAGTGAAAAAAAAAAAAAAGAAAGAAAAGAAAAGAAAAAGAACAGGGCTAAGGTGGTCACTCAGCTCACAGCTTTCCTTTGGGGGTGCGGTGGAAGATGTTCCCCCCAATACTCCGTCTGGTGACCAGGCTTTCTAACTCTGCTCTCCGGGATGGCAGATAATCCTGCTTTCTGGCTTTGGCACGCCAGGACAGTTCTTCCCAGCCTTCTAGAACATGCTGTGCTTATTTACCACTGAAGAGCAACAAGCTTCTGTTGATCTTCAAGTTATCCATGATCAAACACAGAAATGCAAATAAACATTATGGTTGTTTATTTTTCTTTTGTTGATAGCAGACTTTTTTCCTTTTCAAAAAAGAAAAGTCTTTGGAATCTTTCAACACACGTTATGTGACTGGAGTGTTTTAAGAGAGTCCATTTGTGGCTTAGAGTTTTTCTTCTTGGTTAAAAAAAATCATTATTGAATATTGAATATACAAGAGGGAGGCTGGAGCAGTAGCACAGTGGGTAGGGCATTTGCCCTGCACGTGGCCAACCCAGGTTCGATTCCCAGCATCCCATAGGTTCCCCTGAGCACCGCCAGGAGTAACTCCTGAGTGCATGAGCCTGGAGTAACCCCTGTGCATCGCCGAGTGTGACCCAAAAAGCAAAAAAAAAAAAAAACTTGCAACAGATAAATCAGACTTAATCACTTCCCTGTGGTATCCCATGCCCAGGGATGTTTGGGAACCTTAAACATTCCTAAGTAATTTTGATTTTATTTTTTATAAGCTTTGAAAGCTTTCAAGCAAGTGGGAATTTAATGGAGTCTGATCCTAGGATCCGAGAGATTCCACGGGCAATATGACCATGAAAGCAGATCATGCCAGGGGCCAAAAAGATAGCACAGTGGTGAGGGCTCTCGTCTTCCATGTGGCTGACGCAGGTTCTAGCCCTGGGACCCCATAGGGTCCCCTGAGCACCGCCAGGAGTGAACCCTGAGCACAGAGCCAGGAGTCAGCCCTGCCCATTGCCCGGTGCGGCCCCCCAAACAAACATCATCGGCTTCTGGTGTTTCAGGTACCTCCTGAAGGAGCCGATTCTCAACGACGATCTCCCAAGCCGCCTGCTCTATGGCGCGGTCAAGGTGAAGTCGAGGGTGAAGGAGGTCACCGAGACCTCGGCCCTCTTCGAGGACGGCACAGAGGAGGCGGCCATCGACGTGATCGTGTTCGCCACGGGTTACACCTTCTCCTTCCCCTTCCTGGAAGAGTCGCTCGTGAAGGTGGAGAATAAGATGGTGTCGCTGTATAAGTACATCTTCCCTCCGCAGCTGGAGAAGCCCACCCTGGCCTGCATCGGCCTCATCCAGCCCCTGGGTTCTATCTTTCCCACGGTGGAGCTCCAAGCTCGCTGGGTGACCCGGGTGTTTAAAGGTGAGTGGGTGGGTGGCGGGGACCAGCGGCCAAGGTGCTCACACTTGGCAGGGTTTGCTCAAGGACAAGGTGGACATCCCCCTCCCTGCCCCCTTGTCCATCTCACAAGATCAACATTCAGTTTTGGTTTTTGTTTGTTTGTTTGTTTGTTTGGGTTTTTTTTTTTTTGCTTTTTGGGGATTCCTCTGTCCCTCTCTGAGAGCCCGGCAAGCTACCGAGAGCATCCCACCCGCACGGCAGAGCCTGGCAAGCTCTCCGTGGTGTATTTGAAATGCCAGAAACAGTAACAACAAATCTCACAATGGAGACGTTACTGGTGCCTGCTCGAGCGAATCGATGAACAACGAATGGGTCGACAGTGCTATACCACTATAGTGCTTGCTTTCTGGGTCACACCTGGCTATGCACAGGGGTTACTCCTGGCTCATGCACTCAGGAATCACTCCTGGTGGTGCTTGGGGGACCCTATGGGATACTGGGAATCGAACCCGGGTAGGTGTGCAAGGCAAACACCGTCCCTGCTGTGCTATCACTCCAGCCCCCAAGATCAACGTTCTTAAAAGAGGCTGAAGCTTTTGCAAAATTCAAAATACAGAGCTGAAAAAAAAATACAGAGGTGATGGGGCTGGAGCGATAGCACAGTGGGTCAGGTGTTTGTCTTGCATGCAAACAAGCCCAGGTTCGATTCCCAGCATCCCATAGGGTCCCCCGAGCACCGCCAGGAGTCATTCCTGAGTGCAGAGCCAGGAGGAACCCCTGAGCATCGCCGGGCGTGACCCAAAAAGAAAAAAAATACAGAGGTGAGGGGACAGAGAGAGAAAGGGGTTCAGGTGTTTGCCTTGCATCCCGGCCACCCCAGTTCAAATCCCCAGAGCACAGCCAGGGCTCACCCCTGAGCACAGAACCTGGAACAGTCCCTGAGCACGGCCGAGTGTGACCCAGGAGAGAAATACAGAGACGCAACGTGACATCTGCGCATGTTCTCTTAAAATAGTAGACAACGCAGAGAATTTCAAGTGGCGTAAGATTGGGGCTGGAGCCATAGCACAGCGGGGAAGGCATTTGCCTTGCATGCGGCCGATCCGAGTTCGATCCCCGGCATCCCATAGGGTCCCCCGAGCACTGCCAGAAGAGATTCCTGAGTGCAGAGCCAGGAGGAACCCCTGAGCATCGCTGGGTGTGACCAAAAAAGAAAAAAAAAAAAAAGAACAGCAACAACAACAAAAACAAATCAAGTGGCATAAGGTTAAATGCAGGGAATGGCAATGGGGTTTATCAGTGGAGCACTTGCTTTGAGCACCAAGCCAGAAGGAGCCCCCAGCACACAGCGGGGTGTGGTACACACGCGTGCGCACACACACGTGCGCACACACACATGCACACGTGCGCACACACCCATGCACGCACACACATGCACACGCACGTACACACATGCACACACACATGCACCCGCGCACACACACACATGCACGCACACACGCGCACACACACAACATGCACCCGCGCACACACACAACATGCACCCACGCACCCACACACATGCACCCGCGCACACACACAACATACACCCGCGTGCACATACACACGCATGCACGCGCACACATGCACACGCACGCACGCACATGCACATGTGCACACACGCACACGCACATACAAACACACATGCACACGCGCACGCACACACATGCACGCACACATGCGCACACACAACATGCACCCGCGTGCACATACACACCCATGCACACACACATGCACACGTACACACGCACACGCACATACGCGCACAAACACACATGCACACGCACGCACACACATGCAAATGTGCGCCCACGCGCACGCACATACATGCACAAACACACATGCACATGCATGCACGCACATACATGCACGTGCGCGCGCACACACATCCATGCACGCGCACACATGCACATGTGCACGCACGCAGACGCACATGCACGCACAAACACACATGCACACGCGTGCACACACATGCACCCACGCACGCACACACATGCACGCACACAACATGCACCCGCGTGCACATACACACCCATGCACACACACATGCACACGCACGCACACACACGCACATACGCGCACAAACACACATGCACACGCGCATCCACGCATCCACGCACATACATGCACGCCTGCGCACACATGCACCCGCGCACGCACACACATGCACGCACATACGCGCACACACACAACATGCACCCGCGTGCATATACACACCCATGCACACACGCACACGCGCGCACACACACATGCACCCGCGCGCACACACACGCACACGCACGTGCACACACACGATAAGATTAAGGGCGTGTGGTCCTTCCTTTGACCATCAACAAACAGGGGTGCTCATGGGGCGGGCTGGGGGGTCCTGGGTCCTCCCATCTCCCGGGTGTCCGTCGGTTTCCTCCAGCCCCGTGTTTATCCTCAGCTGATGCCTCTTCGCCCCAGCCCCTTCCCTTCATCATCCTGCTGGTGGGTCTCACTGCCACGCCCGCCCCTCATCTGCAAGCCGGCAGCGGGGGCGAACTTTCCAGAAGGCCAAGCCGATCCCATCACCTCCGGGGTCCTTCCGACAGCTCACAGGGCGACGCCAGAGTCGGCCCCCCAGGACGCTGGGCAGTGCCTGTCTCTGAGGTCGGGAGCCTCAGCTCTGGTCGCCTTCCGTCCGGCTGTGGGAAGCCCCTGATGGACAGGGCCGAGGGGCAGGTGCAAACCCTCTTCTCAAAGCTGTCGCTCTTCTCCCAGGCCTGTGTGAGCTCCCCGCAGCGAGTGTCATGAACACGGACATCATCAAGAGGAACGAGCAAAGAATTGATTTGTAAGCATGTCTTCTTTCCCACTTATTCTGGAGGCTTCCTGGGGGGTAAGAACTGACTCTGCCCAAGAGAACCAATTAGCTGCTCATTAAACATGCAAACTTGGGGCCGGGGGGATGGCACAGCGGGGAGAGGGCATTTTCCTTGCACGCGGCTGACACGAGTTTGATCTGGGCATCCCATAGGGTCCCCCGAGCACTGCCAGGAGTGATTCCTGAGTGCAGAGTGAGGAGTAACCCCTGATCATCATTGAGTGTGACCCCCCCAAAAAGTGAAAAAAAAACATACAAACTTAAGGCTGGGGGCATAGCACAGTAGGAAGGGCGTTTGCCTTGCATGTGGCTGACCCGGGTTCGATCCCCGGCATCCCATATGGTCCCCTGAGCACCGCCAGGAGTGATTCCTGAGTGCAGAGCCAGGAGGAACCCCTGAGCATCGCCAGGTATGGCCCTAAAACCAAAATAAAATTAAATTAAAATGCCAAGTCAGGGCTGGAGAGATAGTACAGGGGGTACTTGCCTTGCATATGGCCAGCCCAGGTTTGATCCCCAGCACCCCCCATGGTCCCCCTGCTAGGAGTAATTCCAGAATGCAGAGTAAACCCTGAGCACTGCCAGGTGAGCCCCCGCCCCAACTTCTAAAAATGCAAACTCGGGGCTGGAGCGATAGCACAGCGGGGAGGGCATTTGCCTGGCACGCGGCCGACCCGGGTTCGATTCCCAGCATCCCATAGGGTCCCTCGAGCACCGCCAGGAGTGATTCCTGAGTGCAGAGCCAGGAGAAATCCCTGAGCATGGGTGGGTGTGACCCCAAAAAGCAAAAATAAAGAAATAAAAATGCAAACTCGGGGACCACCACCTGGACTGATGGAATCAGAGTCTCTGAGTGAGGAGAAACATAAATAAGTCATTTTTTTTTCCTGGGGCCTGAGGGCGGGAGGCACTGAACCCTTTCATGAGTCGCACTGTCTTGCTTCTCCGAGGTTTGGGAACAGTCAGAGTCAGATCCTACAGACCAATTACATCGACTACTTGGACGAGCTGGCCGTGGAGATCGGGGCTAGGCCGGACATCCTGGGACTACTGTGGACAGACCCGTGGCTGGCTCTGAAGCTCTACTTCGGACCCTGCAATTCCTACCAGTACCGCCTGGCGGGGCCGGGCCAGTGGGCAGGGGCCCGGGAGGCCATCCTCACGCAGCAACAACGGTTGCTGAAACCTCTGAAGACCCGCGTCTTGAAGCCCGCCGCCCGCGACCCCCTCGCTGGCCTGTTCAAAGTGCTGGCGTTGCTGGCCCTGGGGCTAGCTTTGTGCTTTCAGCTGGAGTGGTCCTAGCGGGTGGGTGGACGGCTTTCGATGCCCACAGCTCTCCAGGGGGGAAAAAAAAAGACGTTAAAAAAAATTGACGGTGCGGGGGTTGTCTTGTGGAGTGGAGAGGAAGGAGGGATGGAGTGAGGGCGTGGGGAGTGTGCTAGGGGCCAGCGGGGTACCACCATCCCGTCCCAGAATCCCCCCTGGCCTGACCCAGCGCCACCCGGATGGTTGTCCAGACAAGAAAGCAGAGTGGTGGTTTCAAAGAATGGAAAAAGCTTCTGGTGGGTAAATATTGAAGCCATCCCTGCTCCTGCCTTTGTTTGGTCACAAAGTTCTCCGTTGTCACCCTGCTCACGCGTTTGCTTCCTGGGGAATCGTCCAAGGCTGAGGTGCATCGGGTTCCCAGAACAATCAGCTCCCGTCACGTTCCTCGTTCCTTGGGGTATCCAGCCCAAAGCCCGGCCAATGGCCCCTGGGTCTTCTCATGGCTGGAACGCAGCTGCATAGTGAAAATTGGGGCTTGGGGCTGGAGTGATAGCACAGCGATGTGGGTGTTTGCCTTGCATGTGGCCAGCCTAGGTTCGATTCCCGGCATCCCGTAGGGTCCCCCGAGCACTGGCAGGAGTGATTTCTGAGTGCAGAGCCAGCAGTCAGCCCTGAGTGTCGCCAGGTGTGACCCCAAAAGGCAATAAATAAATTAAATGTTTTTTAAAAAAAGGAAAGAAAGAAAGAATTAAAGAAAATTTGGCCTGGAAACGGATCCGAGGGCTGAGAGCGATCTTTGTAGTTGGGAACCCTGGGCTGGGTTCAATCTCTGGCCTGTGGTCCCCCACGCACTACTAGGACCGACCTCAAGCACTGAGCTGGGAGTATCCCCTGAGAACCACTAGGTACGGCCCCCAAATCAAAAACCTTAAAAATAAAAAGGTGTGTGGACACCAGGTGTGTCCACAAAAATTTTTTTTTTAAAAATCTAAAATGAGCGGCTGGAGCCATAGTACAGTGGGTAAGGTGTTCGCCTTGCATGCGGATCACCCGGGTTCGAGTCCCAGCATCCCATAGGGTCCCCCAAGCACCGCCAGGAGCGATCCCTGAGTGCAGAGCCAGGTGTGACCCAAAAAGAAAAAAAATTTTTAAATGAATGTGTCATAATAGCTGTACACACACACACACACACACACACACACACACTCAGTACTTAGCACATGGGACATTGTAACTGCACACAGTATATGAAGGCGCCCAGCACTGGTCAGGTAGTTCCTCTTGGTTTCTTTGATTTGTAATCATATGTACGCTCCTTGGAAGTACTGCTACCTAGGAAAGAACATTCTTCTTGCAGCGATAGTCTGATTATTTGCCTTTCTGTTTGGTTGGCATTTCAGTAGAGCGAGGAGGTGTTTGAAGGCGTTTTAGAATGAGTGACGCTTTGACGAGATGTTTGAAATCATTGCCGACATGTTGCAAAACACAAGCGCTGGGGGAGAAAATGATATTTTCCAGGCAGACCAGAAGCGTCAGAAGGAGTGAGCTTTGGTCTTTAGGAAAGTCCTGACAGATAAGAAAAGCAAGAATCAACCCTGGATCAAGGAAAGAACTCTGACAGAGTCAAGTAAGTAAAATGAGTCTGTCAGGGTCATTTTCTTGGGACCGAAGTTTAAAAAGACTCGAACCATTTCACATCAACAGACATGAAGCAATGGAACGGAAAAAAACATCTGATTATGAAATATTCATACAGGGGTTCTCTGCCTGCTCTGCGCTCAAACCAACATCTTCAAAGAGAGGGGAAAGGTCAGAGGTTAAAGTCTTAGACAAATTTCTCTTCTGTGGCCTCCAAACGCTTTCTGTGACGATTTCTTCACTTTAGCCTGAATTTCTTCCCTTTGAGATCTAGGCCAATGTGCTAACAGTCTGTCAACAGAAACTTTTTTTTTCTCCCTAAAACCCACGGAAATAACACTTTTCATAGATTTTGATTTGTAACATTCGTTCCTTTGCAGGTGGTAGGTTCTTAGCTCTTAATGGAAAAACGATTCCTTTGCTAATTCTTAACAGTTATTTGCAGAGTATTCTAGAAATAAGAATAGCATTTATCAAGCCTTTAGAAGGGGGGGGTGAACCCGCCCCTCCCCCATCCATTTTTTTGTCAATAAAGGTTTACCGGAAATAGCCCTATCCTTTCTCCCATTGTTTGTGATAACTTCCAACTACTGACAGAGGGGTATGGGTGTAGAGTTTGAACTACCAACTGGGGGCTGGAGCAATAGCATAGTAGGTAGGGCATTTGCCTGGCACGCGACCGACCAGGGTTTGATCCCCAGCATCCTAGGGTCCCCTGAGCATCACCAGGAGTGATTCCTGAGTGCAGAGCCAGGAGTCAGCCCTAAGCATTGCCGGGTGTGATCCCCCTCAAGCCCCCCAAAAAATACCAACTCTCCCAATCTACATGGAAAATATTTGCCATTGCTGCTCTCACACACGTCTGTGTCCACGTGCCTTGGTGTTGCCTGTTTTTGCATGACTTCCTTCTGGAATCGAGGCCTGGAATCCAGTTTACTTCTTGTCCTATCTCTACAGTGACATGAGCTGAGAAAGGACTGTGGGATGCTGTTGCGTGAATATTCATTCAGTCAGCAGTGCTGAGACAAGGAACATGAGAGAAATTATATTTCGCAGAGGGTCCGGGTTCGCTCAGACCCTGTTGACCAAGGTAGAGCATCCTGAGATCTCCTTTTATCGCCAGCCTACTGTACACATCTCTAAAGGGCTCAATAGAGTGAGGTCATCAACAAAGAAGTTACGGAAGAACATGCAAAACCGAAAGCTTTTCTGTAGACTGAAAACAAACAGGGCACGCTGGAGTGATAGCACAGTGGGGAGGGCATTTGCCTTGCACACGGCCAACCCCAGTTCAATCCCCGGCATCCCATATGGTCCCCCAAGCACCACGAGGAGTAATCCCTGAGCATTGCTGGGTGTGACTCAAAAAGCGATCACGACACGATCACGACCATCCTGTTGTTCGTCGATTGCCTCGAGCAGGCCCCAGTAATGTCTCCTTCGTCCTAGCCCTGAGATTTTTTTTTTTAAAGTGCCATATTCAAGGCTCTTTCAGAGTTAGGAGAATGAGACCCATCATTGTTACTGGTATTTGGCATATTGGGTACGCCACGGGGAGTTTGCCAGACTCTGCCGTGTGGGCATGTTACATTCGGTAGCCTGCCAGGTTGTCCAAAGCAAGAATGAGATAATAAGATGTCGCGCAGCTGCATTTGCGACGTGCGGTTCTGTGAGCTGGGTTTTATAGTCTCTGAGTCTTGGCTGTTGATGGGATTACATGGTGCCAGGGGGTCAGTTGGTTGGTATGACCCCCGCCTACTGGAATTTGGAGGATCTGGGTGGAGGATGCTCAGCCCCGATCCGAGTAGGCTTGGAGATCTCAGTCCCAGGACCCGCATGGCCTTGTTCCTCTGCCGGTACCTTCATGTGTGCAAAGAGTGGTCTCACCATGGTGGTGTCTGGTTCTGGAGGTCTTCAGCTGCCGGAGCCCTGGTCGAGGTGGGGAGGGAAACTCAACCCGCTCCCCTCCAAGGGGCCCCGGTGAGGACAGCCAGGCGCGGGGGCAGGAGACTCTGCCACTCAAAAAGCAAAAATAAGTAAATAAATAAATAAAAATAAAAACAGGCTATGTACCTAAGATCTGCCTCACTGTATCACTGTATCACTGGTCATCCTGTTGTTCATTGATTTTCTCAAGCAGGCCCCAGTAACGTCTCCATTCGTCCCTGTGGCATGCTACTGTAACCCGATGGCGTATTGGGGGCTCTTTCAGGGCCAGGGGAATGAGGACTGTCGTTGTTACTATTTTTGGCATTTCGAGTATGCCATGGGGAGCTTGCCAGGCTCTGCCGTGCGGGCAGGATACTCTCAGTAGCTTGCCAGGCTCTCCGAGAGGGACATAGGCTTTTGGGGCGGCCTCTAATCGCCTTTACAGGTGTTTCCAGTCTACCATGTAAGCCTTCGGTCGACTGGCATGTTGTAATGATCTGCACACTGACAAACACGCACCTGCCTTCATCTCTGGGAAGCACCTGGGATATCTGCGGCCTCAGGTTGATCTCCTTGAGGTTGATGGAGTGATGGAGTGTGAGCAGCTTGCGAGCAGGGCCCTATTTCAGAGGCTCTGTTTCCAAGGATTGGGCACAGACTCTAGGGTCTGCATACTGAAAACACACAGGCTAAGTAAGCACCTAGGATGTCTGAGAAGAGGAAGACTGACTGAAATTTATAAAATTACTTACTGAAGGCAGCTTAAAGAAAAAGATGTTGGGGCTGGAGCCATAGCACAGCGGGGAGGGCGTTGGCCTTGCACGCGGCCCAGCCAAGTTTGATTCCCAGCATCCCATAGGGTCCCCCCGAGCACCGCCAGGAGTGATTCCTTGAGTGCAGAACCAGGAGGAAGCCCTGAGCATAGCCAGGTGTGACCCAAAAAGCAAAAAAAAAAGAAAGGAAAATATGTTTAGCCTCATCCAAACCAGTCAGGACACACACAGAAATCTCGCCCATTTTCATGGGTCCCTTGTTCCTGCCCATGTGCGGTGCAGTCTACCTGGGCTCACCCTGATGGCTTAGTCCAGCCCCAAAAGGATGGTGGCTGGTGGGGCTGGAATGGGAGCAGCTTCAGGAGAAAATGGGTGCCCTGAGAACATCGTGGAAACAAACAACACAGTCAGTGGTGATGTCCTGGGATCTTCCGCCGTGGGACTTCTGCCTCCAGGCAGCCTAGAGTTGGACACTCTCCAGGACAGCCCCCCGCAGGCCAGTCAGTTCCCCGCTAGGGGCCACAGGCTGCCTGAAAAACACATTTCTCAGGGCTGAAGAGATAGCACAGCAGGTAGGGCATTTGCCTTGCACGTGGCCGATCCGGGTTCGATTCCCAGCGTCCCATATGGTCCCCTGAGCACCACCGGGAGTAACCCCTGTGCATCGCCAGGTATGATCCAAAAAGCAAAAAAAAAAAAAAAAAGAAGAAGAAAAGAAAAGAAAAGAAAAACATATTTCTCAGGGTCTCCACCATAGCATAGCAGGGAGGGCGTTGGCCTGGCTCGCGGCCGACCCGGGTTCAATCCCCGGCATCTCATGGGGTCCCCCAAGCACCACCAGGACCAAATATTCGTCGGCATCTCTGGTCAACCTCGGGGCTGCTGGTCACAACGTTAGCTTTCTTTCTGGAGAGGACGTTGGGTGCAACCCAACGACACCCCAAGCCTCTCCCTGCAATGCTCCCATGCAGAAGGGGATCTCACGGGCCTTTTAACGCTCCCCCTCTGTCCACGGGTGTTTTCCTCTGTTCTCTGCCCACTGCCCAACACGCACCAGGGATTCTTCAAGAGAAAGACAGACACTTGCTAAGTGAAACGCCAGGATCGGGAGACGAAGCCTCCTCTCAGCAAGCTTCTAAGAGCAAGCTTTTAAGCAGTCAAGAACTTAGGAACACAGACTGGAGCGATAGCACAGCGGAGAGGGCGTCCGCCTTGCATGTGGCCGACCCGGGTTCGATCCCCGGCATCCCATCTGCTCCCCTGATGCATGGTCACGAGTAATTCCTGAGTGCATGAGCCAGGAGTAACCCCTGAGTGTCACTGGGGCTGACCCAAAAAGAAAAAAAAAATAAAAGAACTTAGGAGTTCAACAGCAAGGAAAATTCCACCTTCATCAGGGACACGTCCCATGCCAAGAGGCCAAACCAGAACCCCCCCAACCCCCTGGGGTCCTCCACTTTCTGGCTGATCAGTAGAACGAGGCCAAAGGAGACAGATTCTACCGAGTTCAGTCCCATAGAGCTGGGGGTGATGAGGTGATGTGTCTGGACGAGACAAAATGAGGGCAGAAGTGCTTGCTTCAGCAGCACATATAAAATTGGAACGATACAGAGATTAGCATGGCCCCTCCGCAAGGATGACACGCAAATTCGTTCCATATTTTTTTCGCCGGGTGTGACCCAAGAAGCAAAATAAATAAATAAAGAAATCACCGTCCACCCGTTGTTCATCGATTTGCTTGAGCGGGCCCAGTAACGTCTCCATTGTGAGACTTCTTGTTACTGTGTTTGGCGTATCGAATACTCTGGGTAGCTTGCCAGGCTCTCCAAGAGGGGTGGAGGAATCGAACCCGGCTCGGCCGGGCTGGCTGCGCGCAAGGCAAATGCCCTACTGCTGTGAAAAACACACGGGGGCAGGAGAACAGGGGGCACCCTTCTGTGCCCCTTTGACCAGCTACCAGCCTCTCTCTCCCTTCATCCACGTTCCCGGTTTCCCCTTTGTTGCGTCCACACCCAACAGGTCAAAAATGCAACTGGAGGGTCTGGGAGCAATAGCACAGCGAGTAGGCCGTTTGCCTTGCACACAGCTGACCCGGGTACCTGGGTTCGATTCCCAGCATCCCATATGGTCCCCTGAGCACTGCCAGGGGCAATTCCTGAGTGCAGAGCCAGGAGTAACCCCTATGCATCGCTGGGTGTGACCCAAAAAAAAACCAAAACAAAACAAATGCAACTGGAGGGGCCTGAACGACAGCACAGCGGGGAGGGTGTTGGCCTGGCATGCGGCCAACCCGAGTTCGATTTCCAGCATCCCATAGGGTCCCCCCGAGTCCTGCCAGGGTTGATTCCTGAGTGCAGAGCCAGGAGTCAGCCCTGAGCATCACCGGGTATGACCCAAAAAGCAAAAATAGATTAATTAACTAATTGATTAACTAAGGGCCAGAATGACAGCACAGCGGGGAGGGCATTTGCCTTGCATGCGGCCAACCCAGGTTCAATCCCCGGCATCCCATATGGTCCCCTGAGCACCGCCAGGAGTGATTCCTGAGTGCAGAGCCGGGAGGAGCCTCTGAGCACTGTCAGGTGTGACCCAAAAAGAATTTTAAAAGCAGTAAATAAATAAGCCTTTTTTAAAAAAAAATGTAGTGCTGGAGCAATAGCACAGCAGGGAGGGCGTTTTCTTTGCATGCAGCCGACCCGGGTTCGATTCCCAGCATCCCATAGGGTCCCCCGAGCACCCCCAGGAGTGATTCCTGAGTGCAGAGCCAGAAGTCAGCCCTGAGCATCGCCGGGTGGGACCCAACAAGAAAAAAAAAAAGAAACGCAACGCAACGCCACTGGACTGCCCCCTTCCTTTGAAACATCAGTGCCCCCCAAGACCTTACAGGGTGGAGAAGGTGGTAGCGAGCAGGAGGTAGAGAGTCTCAAATCAGCTTCCTCGAAGCCCCAGACAGCCTGGGCTCCTGTTCTCTTCCTTCCTCTCTGCACCCTGAAATCGCCTTTTCTTGCAGGCACCCCTCTCCTGAGTGTGCCCACGCTGTTGGCCACACCTGGGGCTTCATTGGCAGCTGACCGTGACGATGATCTGCCCCTGCCCCAGGGCCTTGGCCTTTGCTCCTGCTGGGTTTTTCCTGGCCCACGTGGGAGTCACGGGGCTCAGCCTCCCACTGAATGAGAAGCTTAGATGGTGTCTGGCAGGGTGCTGTCCCTGAGTGCCCTCAAGGCTGTGGAAGAAAACAAAGGCCATCCTGACAGGACTCATGGCCCCGCCAACCCAGGTTCAATCCCCAGCATCACATAGGGTCCCCGAGCACCACCACGAGTGAGCCCTGAGCACAGAGCCAGGAGTCAGCCCTGAGCATAACAGGAGTGATCCCTGAGCACAGAGCCGGGAGTCAGCCCTGAGCATAACAGGAGTGAGCCCTGAGCACAGAGCCGGGAGTCAGCCCCAAACACAGAGTCGGGAGTAACCCTGAGCACAGCAGAGCCAGGAGTCAGCCCTGAGCATAACCAGGAGTGAGCCCTGAGCACAGAGCCGGGAGTCAGCCCTGAGCATAACCAGGAGTGATCCCTGAGCCCAGAGCCAGGAGTCAGCCCTGAGCACAGAGTCAGGAGTGAGCCCTAAGTTCAGAGCCAGGAGTTAAGCCTGAGCACAGAACCAGGAGGGATCCCTGAGCATAGAACTTAGAGTCAGCCCTGAGCACAGAGCCGGGAGTCACCCCCAAACACAGAGTCGGGAGTAACCCTGAGCACAGCAGAGCCAGGAGTCAGCCCTGAGCATAACCAGGAGTGATCCCTGAATGCAGAGCAAGGAGTCAGCCCTGAGCACAGAGTCAGGAGTGAGCCCTAAGCTCAGAGCCAGGAGTCAGCCCTGAGCACCACCAGGAGTGATCCCTGAGCACAGAGCCGGGAGTCAGCCCTAAGCTCAGAGCCAGGAGTCAGCCCTGAGCACCACCACGAGTGAGCCCTGAGCACAGAGCCAGGAGTCAGCCCTGAGCATAACAGGAGTGAGCCCTGAGCACAGAGCCGGGAGTCAGCCCTGAGCATAACAGGAGTGAGCCCTGAGCACAGAGCCGGGAGTCAGCCCTGAGTATAACCAGGAGTGATCCCTGAGCACAGAGCCGGGAGTCAGCCCTGAGCATAACCAGGAGTGAGCCCTGAGCACAGAGCCGGGAGTCAGCCCTGAGCATAACCAGGAGTGATCCCTGAGCCCAGAGCCAGGAGTCAGCCCTGAGCACAGAGTCAGGTGTGAGCCCTAAGTTCAGAGCCAGGAGTTAACCCTGAGCACAGGGCCAGGAGTGATCCCTGAGCATAGAGCTTAGAGTTAGCCCTGAGCACAGAGCTGGGAGTGAGCCCTGAGCACAGAGCCGGGAGTCACCCCCAAACACAGAGTCGGGAGTAACCCTGAGCACAGCAGAGCCAGGAGTCAGCCCTGAGCATAACCAGGAGTGATCCCTGAGCACAGAGCTGGGAGTCAGTTCTGAGCATAACCAGGAGTGATCCCTGAGCACAGAGCCAGGAGTCAGCCCTGAGCACAGAGTCAGGAGTGAGCCCTAAGCTCAGAGCCAGGAGTCAGCCCTGAGCACCACCTGGAGTGATGCCTGAGCACAGAGCCGGGAGTCAGCCCTGAGCACAGAGTCACGAGTGAGCCCTAAGCTCAGAGCCAGGAGTCAGCCCTGAGCATAGAGCTTAGAGTTAGCCCTGAGCACAGAGCCGGGAGTCACCCCCAAACACAGAGTCGGGAGTAACCCTGAGCACAGAGCCGGGAGTCAGCCCCGAGCACAGAGCCAGGAGTGACCCTGAGCACAGAACTGGGAGTCAGCCCTGAGCACTGCTGGGTATAGTGCAGAAACAAAGCAAAACAGGACTCGTTTTCCTCTTCATGTGGAATTGAGGCCCGAGCAGAAAGCCTTCAAAGTAGCCCCCGAAAGGGGTGAGGAGGTGCTGCCAGACCCCCACCCCCCCAACTTCACTGCACACAGGAGAGACCAAAGTCCACCAGACTGGCGCTCACGGGGTGCCGTGTGTTGAAACTATCAGGTTAAAATGTAAACACCAGCCCCGGTCCAAATGCAGCTCCGCACTCCTTATGTCACCGCGAACTCAGGCCAACTCACATCAGTCACGCCTGGATTTCCGGAGCGCCCTCTCATCCCAACGGCAGAAGCCCCGGGTACCAGGAGTGCCAAGGACAAAGATAGTGAGTGACCAGAGAGAATTTCAGGTCCCTTGGTCTGCAGGGGCGGGACGGGTGGGATGGAGCCTGGCTTGGTCTTGCTTTAAAATTGTGCAGTGAAAGACAGCCACCTCGGCATAAAGCCACTTTGGGGTCTGCAACCCCCGTGGCGGAGGCAGGGGGGTGATATGACTGCTCCCTGCACACAGGGAGCGGAAAGGCGAGTCCTCCTAATGGGCCAGGACACGCAGACTGGCCCTCTGGGCACCCCCCGGATGCTGAGAGGTGATTAAACTCAGATATCTTTTTTTTATTTGGGGGGGGGGGGGCGGCTGGAGCGATAGCACAGCGGGTAGGGCATTTGCCTTGCACGGGGCCGACCCAGGTTCGATTCCTCCGTCCCTCTCAGAGAGCCCGGCAAGCTACTGAGAGTGTCTCGCCCACACGGCAAAGCGTGGCAAGCTCCCCGTGACGTATTCGATATGCCAAAAACAGTAACAACAGGTCTCAATTTGTTGTGAGACGTTACTGGTGCCCGCTCGAGCAAATCGATGAACAACGGGAGGACAGTGCTACAGTGCTACCGTGCTTTGGGGGTCACACCCCGGTGATGCTCAGGGGTTCCTCCTGGCTCTGCACTCAGGAATCACTCCTAGCGGTGCTCGGGGGACCCTATGGGTTGCCGGGGATCGAACCCAGGTCGGCCGCATGCAAAACCAATGCTCTCCGCACTGTGCTATCACTCTGATCCTAAACTCGGATTTCTGATGGGAGAGGAAGCCAGTCATTCATTGGCCTTTGCTTGCATGCATCACTTCGAAGATGGGGTCAGGCCATGGGGCTGCCGGATTTTCCACCCAAGCGTGGGCATCTGGTCCCTTGGGAGTAGGCAGCACTTCAACTGCTGAGGGTTGGTCTCTAGTCGGTCCATTGTGGCTCCATCTTGCAGAGACCACACACACACACACACACACACACACACACGCACACGCACACGGAGAGTTCTCGGGGGTTCTATGCCCCAGGGTTCCCCAGCTATGGAGTTGACGTCAGGGCTGTTTTTCTTTGTTCGTTCTCCAAGTTGAATGATGATTGGCATTGGAAACTTGGAGCCTGCTACAATCTATCTGGAGGCAATTGGAGGCATTTTCCAGGTGCCAGAGATGGGGTGTGTGTGTGTGTGTGTGTGTGTGTGTGAGAGAGAGAGAGAGAGAGAGAGAGAGAGACAGAGAGAGACAGAGAGAGAGAGACAGAGAGACAGAGAGAGATACAGAGAGAGAGGGAGAGGTAGGTGAAGGGGCTGGAGCGATAGTACAGCGGTAGGGCATTTGCCTTGCACGCAGTCAACATGGCATAAAGGTGCTATAAACTTTTTTTTTTTTTTTGCTTTTTGGGTCACACCTGGCAATGCTCAGGGGTTACTCTTTTTTTTTCTTTTTTTTTATTAGTGAAACACCATGAGGTACAGTTGTAGATTTACAAATTTTTGTGCTTGGATTTCGGTCATACCATGATCAAATACCCATCCCTCCACCAGTGCCCATTTTCCACCACCAGGATAATATTCCTCCCCCCCCATCCCCTCCACTGTGGCAGGGCATTCTCAGGGGTTACTCTTGGCTCTGCACTCAGTAATCACTCCTGGTGGTGCTCAGGGGCCCCTACGGGTTGCCGGGGATCGAACCCAGGTCGGCCGCATGCAAAACCAATGCTCTCCGCACTGTGCTATCACTCTGATCCTAAACTCGGATTTCTGATGGGAGAGGAAGCCAGTCATTCATTGGCCTTTGCTTGCATGCATCACTTCGAAGATGGGGTCAGGCCATGGGGCTGCCGGATTTTCCACCCAAGCGTGGGCATCTGGTCCCTTGGGAGTAGGCAGCACTTCAACTGCTGAGGGTTGGTCTCTAGTCGGTCCATTGTGGCTCCCTCTTACAGAGACCACACACACACACACACACACACGCACACGGAGAGTTCTCAGGGGTTCTATGCCCCAGGGCTCCCCAGCTATGGAGTTGACGTCAGGGCTGTTTTTCTTTGTTCGTTCTCCAAGTTGAATGATGATTGGCATTGGAAACTTGGAGCCTGCTAGAATCTATCTGGAGGCAATTGGAGGCATTTTCCAGGTGCCAGAGATGGGGTGTGTGTGTGTGTGTGTGTGTGTGTGTGTGTGAGAGAGAGAGAGAGAGAGAGAGACAGAGACAGAGACAGAGACAGAGACAGAGAGACAGAGAGAGATACAGAGAGAGAGGGAGAGGTAGGTGAAGGGGCTGGAGCGATAGCACAGCGGTAGGGCATTTGCCTTGCACGCAGTCAACATGGCATAAAGGTGCTATAAACTCTTTTTTTTTTGCTTTTTGGGTCACACCTGGCAATGCTCAGGGGTTACTCTTTTTTTTTCTTTTTTCTTTTTTATTAATGAAACACCATGAGGTACAGTTGTAGATTTACAAATTTTTGTGCTTGGATTTCGGTCATACCATGATCAAATACCCATCCCTCCACCAGTGCCCATTTTCCACCACCAGGATAATATTCCTCCCCCCCCATCCACTCCATCCCCCCCGCCACTGTGGCAGGGCATTCTCAGGGGTTACTCTTGGCTCTGCACTCAGTAATCACTCCTGGTGGTGCTCAGGGGACCCTATGGGATGCCAGGGATCGAACCCGGGTCGGCCGCGTGCAAGACAAACGCCCTCTCCACTGTATTATCACTCCAGCAACCCCTCCCCAACACATCTTTTTTTTTTTTTTTTTTTTTTTTGCTTCTTGGGTCACACCCGGCGATGCACAGGGCTTACTCCTGGCTCTGCACTCAGGAGTTACTCCTGGCGGTGCTCAGGGGACCATATGGGATGCTGGGAATCGAACACCGGGTCAGCCGCTTGCAAGGCAAACACCCTACCCGCTGTGCTATCTCTCCGGCCCCGATGCTATAAACTTGACTGGAGCTCAGCCTAGCAACCGCAAAGAAGTTACCTAGTAGTAAATACCCAGATACCTTGAATCCACAGGCAACTCACTCTGACAGCAAGAACGAATAACTAGTGAATCCACAGTGTGGGCAAGACTGAGATTGGATCATTGGACCTTTCCAGACCCCAAGAGATGAAGCCCTCCAGGTCAATTGAAAAATCCCCAAGAGAGGCTGGAGCGATAGCACAACGGGGAGGGCGTTTGCCTTGCACATGGCTGACCCAGGTTCAATTCCCGGCATCCCATATAGTTCCTTGAGCACAGCCAGGAGTAATTCCTCAGTGCAGAGCCAGGAGGAACCCTTGTGCATAGCCAGCCGTGACCCAAAAGCTAAATAAATAAACAAACAAAAAGAAAAATCCCCAAGAAGGGGCTGGAGCAATAGTATAGCATCATTGTGTGTGATTCAACATTTTGCCAAGATGCATCCCACATAGTCCCCTGAGTTCTGCCAGGAGTGATTCCCCGAGTCCAGAGCCGGGAGTAAATCCTGAGGGTGACCCAGAAACTACACATATGTATCCTGCGGACACAACTTACCCAGACGCTTCTATACATTCCGGCCCCGTGCTCGACTGCACGTTCCCGTTTCTGTTCTTGCCACTTGAAAGAAAAACATAAATAGTGCACCAAGGGGCTGGAGCGATAGCACAGCTGGGAGGGGGTTTGCCTGGCACGCGGCCGACCCAGGTTAGATCCCCGGCATCCCCTAGGGTCCCCGGAGCATCGCCAGGAGTGATTTCTGAGTGCAGAGCCAGGAGTCAGCCCTGAGCATCGCCGGGTGTGACTCAGAAACAAGAAACAGAGAGAGAAAGGGAGAAATAGAAAGAGATACAGAGCGAGAGAGAGAGAGAGAGCGAGAGAGAGAGCGAGCGAGAAAGAGAGAGAGCGAGAGAGAGAGTGAGCGAGCGAGAGAGAGAGAGAATGAGAGAGAGAGAGAGACAGGGTTCATCCATGAGTGGGGATGTGGGGGTTGGGGTTGTGGAGTTTTCCTTGTCCTGGCTAAGAACCTCTTTGTGTGCAATTTCACAACTCTCTCCACAAGCTCCGATTCTTCCGTCCGTTTTACCAATCCCCTTTCGCCTCCTGACCTCTCCCTCATAGCTCGGTCCTATTTTTGTGCCTTAACATCTTTCTTACCCAATCAGCTTGGGTGAGATGCTGAAAGGGGCCGATGATGATGGGAACGGGTGGGGTGGTCCGATCCCCACCACCCTGTGGGATTCCCCCAGGAGTGAACAAGAACCACTGGATCCGAGAATGGAACCATCCAACCGGTTGGCACAGTGTCCTGGGGAACGGCTCCAGGCCTCCTGAGCACTGTGGGGAGGCCAAAGGAAATCAATCCATCCATCAAGGGGTCCGATTTCAGCCCCCCTGCCAGAAGCCGAGGCGGGACGTCCAACTGGCACCGGCTCCAAGGGAGGGACGGGACCGGCGCCAGCCATGAGCTTGACCCGTGTCTGCCCCCGAGACCGTCCCGGGGCTCCCATGCTCTAGATCTTTCTGTCTGCCCTTGGCCCCCTGTGGCCAGGAGGGGTGGGGCTCCCCCTGCATAAAAGCCTCAGCTGCCTTTATAACTTTTATAACTGTGTTTCCTTCCTGCATAGGCGACCATGGCCAGGCGTGTGGCGATCGTAGGTGCCGGGGTCAGCGGCCTGGCCTGCATCAAGTGCTGCCTGGAAGAAGGCCTGGAGCCCACCTGCTTCGAGAGGAGCGATGACCTCGGGGGGCTGTGGCGCTTCACCGTGAGTGGGACGGGCTGGCAGGCAAGGGGGAGTGGTTGGGGACAGGCTGATGGGTACAGGAAGGGATGGGAGTTTCCTCCCCCCTGGCTGGTGGTCCTGAGGAGGCATTTGGTGTCTCTGCTCAGTGGACACCTGTGAGGGACAGGAGTTTCCTCTCCCTCAGGCTGGTGGTCCTGACGAGGCTTTCGGTGTCTCTGAGGCCCAGTGGACACCTATGAGGGACACGAGTTTCCTTCACTGACTGGTGGCTATGGGGAGGCTCTTGGTGTCTCTGTTCAGAGGACATCTATGAGAGTCGTGAGTTTCCTCTCCTATGAGCTGGTGGCTGTGAGGAAATGCTTGGTATCTCTGAGGCTCAGTGAACACCTGTGAGGGACAGGAGTTTCCTCTCCCTCAGGCTGGTGGTCCTGAGGAGGCTTTTGGTGTCTCTGAGGCCCAGTGGACACCTATGAGGGACACGAGTTTCCTTCACTGACTGGTGGCTATGGGGAGGCTCTTGGTGTCTCTGTTCAGAGGACATCTATGAGAGACGTGAGTTTCCTCACCTATGAGCTGGTGGCTGTGAGGAAATGCTTGGTGTCCTGAGGCTCAGTGAACACCTGTGAGGGACAGGAGTTTCCTCTCCCTCAGGCTGGTGGTCCTGAGGAGGCCTTTGGTGTCTCTGAGGCCCAGTGGACACCTATGAGGGACACGAGTTTCCTTCACTGACTGGTGGCTATGGGGAGGCTCTTGGTGTCTCTGTTCAGAGGACATCTATGAGAGACGTGAGTTTCCTCTCCTATGAGCTGGTGGCTGTGAGGAAATGCTTGGTGTCCTGAGGCTCAGTGAACACCTGTGAGGGACAGGAGTTTCCTCTCCCTCAGGCTGGTGGTCCTGAGGAGGCTTTTGGTGTCTCTGAGGCCCAGTGGACACCTATGAGGGACACGAGTTTCCTTCACTGACTGGTGGCTATGGGGAGGCTCTTGGTGTCTCTGTTCAGAGGACATCTATGAGAGACGTGAGTTTCCTCTCCTATGAGCTGGTGGCTGTGAGGAAATGCTTGGTGTTTCTGAGGCTCAGTGAACACCTGTGAGGGACAGGAGTTTCCTCTCCCTCAGGCTGGTGGTCCTGAGGAGGCTTTTGGTGTCTCTGAGGCCCAGTGGACACCTATGAGGGACACGAGTTTCCTTCACTGACTGGTGGCTATGGGGAGGCTCTTGGTGTCTCTGTTCAGAGGACATCTATGAGAGACGTGAGTTTCCTCTCCTATGAGCTGGTGGCTGTGAGGAAATGCTTGGTGTCCTGAGGCTCAGTGAACACCTGTGAGGGACAGGAGTTTCCTCTCCCTCAGGCTGGTGGTCCTGAGGAGGCTTTTGGTGTCTCTGAGGCCCAGTGGACACCTATGAGGGACACGAGTTTCCTTCACTGACTGGTGGCTATGGGGAGGCTCTTGGTGTCTCTGTTCAGAGGACATCTATGAGAGACGTGAGTTTCCTCTCCTATGAGCTGGTGGCTGTGAGGAAATGCTTGGTGTTTCTGAGGCTCAGTGAACACCTGTGAGGGACAGGAGTTTCCTCTCCCTCAGGCTGGTGGTCCTGAGGAGGCTTTTGGTGTCTCTGAGGCCCAGTGGACACCTATGAGGGACACGAGTTTCCTTCACTGACTGGTGGCTATGGGGAGGCTCTTGGTGTCTCTGTTCAGAGGACATCTATGAGAGTCGTGAGTTTCCTCACCTATGAGCTGGTGGCTGTGAGGAAATGCTTGGTGTCCTGAGGCTCAGTGAACACCTGTGAGGGACAGGAGTTTCCTCTCCCTCAGGCTGGTGGTCCTGACGAGGCTTTCGGTGTCTCTGAGGCCCAGTGGACACCTATGAGGGACATGAGTTTCCTTCACTGACTGGTGGCTATGGGGAGGCTCTTGGTGTCTCTGTTCAGAGGACATCTATGAGAGACGTGAGTTTCCTCTCCTATGAGCTGGTGGCTGTGAGGAAATGCTTGGTGTCCTGAGGCTCAGTGAACACCTGTGAGGGACAGGAATTTTCACTCACTCGGGCTGGTGCTCATAAGGAGGTGCTTGGTATCTCTGCTCAGTGGACACCTGTAACAGACAAGAGTTTCCTCTCCCCTGACTGGTGCTCGTGAGGAGGCTCTCAGTGTTTCTGAGGCTCAATGGACACTTGTGAGAGATGTGAGTTTCCTCTCCTTTGGGCTGGTGGCCATGAGTATGTGCTTGGTGTCACTGCTCAGTGGACATCTGTGACAAATGGGAGTTTCCTCTCCTGACTGGTGGTCCAGAGGAGTTTGGTGTCTCTGCTCAGTGGACACCTGTGAGAGACATGAGTTTTGTCTCCCTGAGGCTGGTGGTCCTGAGGAGGCCTTTGGTGTCTCTGAGGCTCAGTGAACACTTGTGAGGGATAAGAGTTCTCTCTCCCCTGACTGGTGGCTGTGAGGAGGCTCTCGGTGTGTCTGCTCAGTGGACACCTGTGAGGGATGTGAGTTTCCTTTCCTATGGGCTGGTGGCTGTGAGGAAGTGCTTGGTGTCTCTGACGCTCAATGGACACTTGTGAGTAATGTGAATTTCCTCCCCTGACTGGTGATCATGAGGAATTTGATGTCTCTGTTCAGTGGACACTTGTGAGGGACGTGAGTTTCCTCTCTAATGGGCAGTGGTCCTGAGGAGGCACTTGGTGTCTCTGCTCAGTGGACATTTGTGAGGGACAGGAGTTTCCTCACCCCTGACTGGTGGTTGTGAGGAGTTTGGTGTCTCTGCTCAGTGGACATTTGTGAGGGACAGGAGTTTCCTCCCCTGACTGGTGGTCCTGAGGAGGTACTTGGTGTCTCTGAGGCTCAGTGGACACTTGTGAGGGACGTGAGTTCCCTTTTCCCTGACTGGTGGCCTTGAGGAAGCTTTCGGTGTGTCTGTTCAGTGGACACCTGTGAGAGACGTGAGTTTCCTTTCCTATCAGCTGGTGGTCATGAGGAGGCGCTTAGTGTCTCTGCTCAGTGTACATCCATGAGGGACAGGAGTTTCCTCTCCCTCAGGCTGGTGGTCACGAGGAGGTGCTCGATATCTCTGCTCAGTGGGCATCTGTAACAGACAGGAGTTTCCTCTCTCCTGACTGGTGGTTGTGAGGAGTTTGGTGTCTCTCCTCAGTGAACACCTGTGAGGAACGTGAGTTCCCTCTCTCCTGACAGGTGGTTGTGAGGAGGTTCTCGTTGTCTCTGCTCAGTGGATACCTGTAATGGATAGGAGTTTCCTCTGCCCTGACTGGTGATCATGAGGAGGCTCTCGGTGTCTCTGAGGCTCAGTGGACACTTGTGAGGGATGTGAGTTTTCTCTCCTATGGGCTGGTGGCCGTGAGGATGCACTTGATGTCTCTGCTCAGTGGACATCTGTGACGGATGGGAGTTTTCTCCCCTGGCTGGTGGTCCTGAGGAGTTTGGTGTCTCTGCTCAGTGGACGCCTATGAGGGATGTGAATTTCCTCACCCCTGACTGGTGAGGAGTTTTTGTCTCTGCTCAGTGGACACCTGTGAGAGACATGAGTTTCCTCTCTCCTGACTGGTGGTCATGAGGAGTTTGGTGTCCCTGAGGCTCAGTGGACACTTGTGAGGGACATGAGTTTCCTCCCCTGACTGGTGGTCCTGAGGAAGCTCTCGATGTCTCTGCTCAGTGGACACCTGTGAGGGACAGAAGTTTCCTCTCCTTCAGGCTCGTGGTCCTGAGGTAGCACTTGGTGTCTCTGAGGCTCAGAGGGATGTGAATTTTCTCCCCTGACTGGTGGTCATGAGGAATTTGATGTCTCTGTTCAGTAGACACTTGTGAGGGACAGGAGTTTCCTCTCCCCTGGCTAGTGGTCCTGAGGAGGTGTCTTGGTGTCTCTGAGGCTCCGTGGACACCTGTGAGGGACAAGAGTTTCCTCTCACCTGACTGGTAACCATGAGGAGGCTCTCAGTATTTCTGCTCAGTGGACATCTGTGAGGGAGTTCTGTGAGTTTCCTTTCCTAAGGGTTGTGGTCCTGAGGAGGCACTTGGTGTCTCTGCTCAGTGGACACTTGTGAGGGACAGGAATTTCCTCTCCCCTGAATGGTGGTTGTGAGGTGGTGCTCAGTGTCTCTGTTCAGTGGATACCTGTGAAGAATGTGAGTTTCCTCCCCTGGCTGGTGGCCGTGAGGTGGCACTCGATGTCTCTGCTCAGTGGACACCTGTGAGACTGATGCACATGGACTGATCCCCTCTCAGGGCAGGAAGTGCGGCTGCCAGAGAACTTTCTGCAGTGCCCAGCCCAAGAGCCACTTCCAAGCTGGAGGACAGGGCAGCTTGGACGAGCCGGGAAAGGCCAGGGCAACGAAACCAGGGCCAGGAAGGCAGCCGACCACAGCCTGCTGTGTTTGGGGACAGCGATGACCCATGGGAGCCGGCCACCACTCTATGAGGTCACACAGCACAGGCTCACAGGGGCAGATGGGCAGAACGGACGCCAGACTCCAGATCTGGGACCCACCCTGGGCTTCTCCAGTGCCAGCTGTCAGGTGGAGATAAGGGGGACTCAGGTGGCCGCTGTCCAGACCCTCACCCAGGGGGCTTTGCCTATACAAAGAGCAAACACTCTTCCATCACTGAAGGGAGCAGAATGAAGGGACTATTGGCCAACTCCGTCAGCCAGTGCTCCAGAGAGCCCCAGGTTGCCTCCTGGGCTGTAGCTGGCCCAGGATCAGAGAGAGAGGACAGTGGGAACAGCATTGGTCTTACATGTGGCCAACCCGGGTTCGATCCCCGGCACCATATGGCTCCCCCGCCAATGCCGCCAGGAATAATCCATGCTGGGAATCCATGCTCCCAAGCACAGGAAATGAAGAAATAGTCTGGGGGGGGCTGCATTCATTGGTGGCATAAAATATATATATATATATCAATATATATCACAATTATGACCATCCTGTTATTCGTCGATTGCCTCGAGCAGGCCCCAGTAACGTCTCCTTCGTCCCAGCCCTGAGATTTTACAAAGTGCCATATTCAAGGCTCTTTCAGAGTTAGGAGAATGAGACCCTTCATTGTTACTAGTATTTGGCATATTGGGTACACCACGGGGAGTTTGCCAGACTCTGCCGTGTGGGCAGGATACATTCGGTAGCTTGCCAGTTTGTCCAAAGTAGGAATGAGATAATAAGATGTCGTGTGGCCACGTTTGCGGCCGCGCGCTTCCAGGAGCTGGGTTTTATAGTCTCTGAGTCTTGGCCATTGATGGGATTACACGGCGCCAGGGGGCCAGTTGGTGGGTGTGACCCCCACCTACTGGAATTTGGAGGATCAGGGTGGAGGATGCTCAGGCCCGATCCGAGTAGGCTTGGAGATCTCAGCCCCGGGATCCACGTGCCTTTGTTCCTCTGCTGGTACCTTCATGTGTGCCGAGAGTGATATATATATATATATATATATATATATATATATATATATATATTGTACATAAACATATCATGGGCTGGAGCGATAGCACAGCGGTAGGGTGTTTGCCTTGCACGTGGCTGGCCCAGCCGAGCCGGGTTCGATTCCTCCACCCCTCTCGGAGAGTCCAGCAAGCTACTGAGAGCATCCCACCCGCACAGGAAAGCCTGGCAAACTCCCCGTGTATTCAATATGCCAAACACAGTAACAACAAGTCTCACAATGGAGACGTTACTGGGCCTGCTCGAGCAAATCGATGAGCAACGGGAGGACAGTGACACTGATAAAGATCATAGAAATGATATGCATATAGTAGAAGACTAATATTCATGGCCAGGGAAGACAGGGCTAGGAGGACTGGTCAGTGGTTGGAATAAACCGCAGGTGTGTGGGGGGCGGAAGGTGGGTAAGATAGAGATGGGACCAGCATGACAATAATTAGCTGGGGAGGGTCACGCTGGACAAGATATGAGGGTTAAAAGTAGGTAGAGGAATATTCCTGATAACCTCTCAGTATCTGTATTGCAAACCTAGTGACCAAAAGGAGAGACAGAGACAGAGTGAGGCAGAGAGAGAGAGCAAGAGACAGAGAGAGTGAGAGACAGAGAGACACAGAGAGAGAGAGAGAGAAAGAGAGAAAGAGAGAGAGAGTAGAAACGCCTGCCATTAGAGGCAGGGGTTGGGGGTGGGGGTGATGGGAGGGAACTAGGGACCCTGGTGCTGGGAAATGCGCCCTGGTGGAGGGATGGGTGTTGGAACACTGCATCTATCTCCAGTGATTCAATTTAAAAAATTAATAAAAGTTTAAAAAATAATAATAAACCGAGAGAGAGAGAAAGAGAGAGAGAGAAAGAGAGAGAGAGAGAGAGAGAGTCCAGTGGGGAGGATATTTGCATGATGCTGACCCGGGATCCATCCCTGTCACCCCATATGGTCCCCCGAGCCCTCCAGGAGTGATTCCTGAGCCCAGAGCCAGGAGCATTGCCGGGTGTGGCCCCCCAAACCAAAACACAACAAACAAACGAAACTCTCGGGGCGGAATCACCAACCCTCCTAGGATGGTGACGGGGACCAGCAACCCAACCCCCCGGGGTCACCGACATCCTCATCCGATGTCTAGAGTGTCCCGACACCCGTTCCCGTGCGCACCCATGTTCTGCCACTCCCTGTCTTTGCAGGAGCACGTGGAGGAAGGCAGGGCGAGCCTCTACAAGTCTGTGGTGTCCAACAGCTGCAAGGAGATGTCCTGTTACTCCGACTTCCCCTTCCCCGACCACTACCCCAACTACATCCCCAACGCCTACTTCCTGGAGTACCTGCAGATGTACGCAGAACGCTTCGGCCTGAGGCGCTGCATCCAGTTTAAGGTCAGACCCGCGCGAGCCGCCTGGGCCTCTGGGCCTGCTTCATACCAGCATGCAGATGGCGAGGGGGCGGGGGTGTCAGTCTGGCAGGGTTTATAAGCCCTGCCTGATTCTCTTCCCCCACTTGGCTCTCGCCTCTGTCCCTGAATGAAGGGGAAGAAGTTGTCAGAAGCACCTGCAAGGACTAAGGCACATATTTCCGGTTTGAAAAAATTCATGTTTGGGGGCTGGAGCGATAGCACAGAAGGGCAAGGCATTTGCCTGACACGCGGCCAACCCGGATTCGATCCCTGGCATCCCATAGGGTCCCTGAGCACCGCTCGGAGTAATTCCTGAGTGCAGAGCCAGGGGGAACCCCTGTGCATTGCTGGGTGTGACCCAAAAAGCAAAAAGAAAAAAAAAAGAAAAAATCATGTTTTTTTCCCCCAAGGATCCTAGGAGACCCTAAAGGTGGGCAAAAGCCTGTGTATCAGGACCCTGAGAACACTCACAGATCACAGATCACAGATCATCCTGTTATTCGTCGATTGCCTCGAGCAGGCCCCAGTAATGTCTCCTTCATCCTTTGGAGTCGAGAACACTCACAGCCTTGGTCATTTCTTCACTGTCTTTCAAAGGAATGAACCAGAGAGATAGCACAGCGGGGAGGGCGTTAGTCTTGCATGCGACTGACCTGGGTTAGATTCCCAGCATCCCATAGGGTCCCCTGAGCACCGCCAGGAGTAATTCCTGAGTGCAGAGCCAGGAGTCAGCCCTGAGCATCGCCGGGTGTGACCCCCCACCCAAAAAAAGCAAAATAAAATAAAATAAAAGACATCAGAAGACCTTTGTTACCATGTTGGTTCTATGAGGATGAGAATTTGAACAAATTGTCTTAAGTCTTGGGGTTCCCCCCAACTGTCTTAATTTTCCCTCTAAAATTCAGAATATTCCCATGAAATAGGAGCGATAGCACAGTGGTAGGGCGTTTGCCTTGTGCGCGGCCGGCCTGGCTGAGCTGGGTTCGATTCCTCCGCACCTCTCGGAGAGCCTGGCAAGCTACCGAGAGTATCTCGCCCGCACGGCAAAGCCTGGCAAGCTCCCCGTGGTGTATTCGATATGCCAAACACAGTCACAACAATTCTCACAATGGAGATGTTACTGGGCCCGCTCGAGCAAATCGATGAACAACGGGAGGACAGTGCTACAGCGCTATTACCAAGTAAGTTCACATATCCTTGACCTAGGTCCATCCCAGAAATGACTGTGCCTCAAGGAGTCCCACTTGATTCGCAGGGTCATGCTAGTGTCCTGTTAGAAGCACCGCAGGCTGGAAATGTGACCACTGCTCACCACTGCTGCAATTCTTTTTTGTCTTTCAGACTAAAGTCTGCAGCGTTACCCAGCGCCCGGACTTCGCGGCCAGTGGCCAGTGGGAGGTGGTCACACAGCGGGAAGGGAAGCAAGAGTCAGCCGTGTTCGATGCTGTCATGGTGTGCACGGGCTACCTCACCAACCCTCACCTGCCCCTGGATGACTTCCCAGGTACTGCAGTTCCTGTGCTCCCCTTCCTCCATCTCACAGTCTCCCCGTGTCTGGGAACGAACTCCCCTGGTCCCCCCACATTCGAGAGTTAAGGTGACAAGGAAATGTAAAAACTCTCTTCCTGGGAACAGAGCCATGGCACAGCGGGGAGGGCGTTGGCCTTGCATGCGGCCGACCCAGGTTCAATCCCGGGCATCCCATAGGGTCCTCCCAAGCACTGCCAGAAGTGATCTCTGAGTGAGTGCAGAGCCAGGAGTCAACCCCGAGCATCACCGTGTGTGACTCATGATCACGATCACGATCATCCTGTTGTTCATCAATTGCCTCGAGCAGGCACCAGTAACGTCTCCTTCTTCCTAGCTCCGATATTTTTAAGAGAGCCATATTCAATGCTCTTTCAGGGCTAGGAGAATGAGACCTACCATTGTTACTGGTATTTGGTGTATTGAGTACGACACGGGAAGTTTGCCAGACTCTGCTGTGCAGGCAGGATACTTTCGGTAGCCTGCCGGGTTCTCCAAAGTAAAAACGAGATAATAAGATGTTGTGCGGCCACACTTGCAGCCACGCGCTTCCGGGAGCTGGGTTTTATAGTCTCTCGGTCTTGGCCGTTGATGGGACCACCTGGCACCAGCGGCAGCTGGTGGGTATGATGCCTACCTACTGGAAGATGGGGGATCTGGTTGGAGAAGGCCAGTCCTGATCCGAGCAGGCTTGGAGATCTCAGCCCCAGGACCCTCATGCCTGTGTTCCTCTGCTGGTTCCTTCATGCATGAGGCTTGTCCGAATGTGTGGAGAGTGGTCTCAGCATGGCTGTGGCTGGTTCTGGAGGTCTTCGGCTGCTGGGGCTCTGCTCGGGGCGGGGAGGGAAACTCAACCCGCCCCCCTCCAAGGGGCCCTGGCGAGGACAGCCAGGTGCGGGGGCAGGAGACTCTGCCAGGTGTGACTCAAAAAGAGGAAAAAAATTTTAAAAAAAGAAAGAACGAAAACTCTTCCTGACTAGTTCCTCCTTTTGCGTTGTTTTGTTTTTTTGTTTTGTTTTGTTCTTTTTGGGTCACAACAGGCGATGCACAGGGATTCCTCCTGGCTCATACACTCAGGACTTACTCCCAGCAGTGCTCAGGGAACCCTATGGGATGCTGGGAATCGAACCCGGGTCGGCCGCGTGCATGGCAAACGCCCTCCCCGCTGTGCTATCACTCCAGTCTCCTGTTTTTGTTTTATTCAAAATGGCCTGTGCTAGCAAGTAGAATGGATAACTCATGCGTGGTTTGGTTCTGCTACACCTCAGTGGCCCTCCTTCCGTGGCAGGAAATTCTCAGGATTAACCGAGGAGGAGGAGGAGGAGGAAGAGGAGGAGGAGGAAGAGGAGGAGGAGGAGGAGGAGGAGGAGGAGGAAGAGGAGGAGGAGGAGGAGGAGGAGGAGGAAGAGGAGGAGGAGGAGGAGGAGGAGGAGGAGGAGGAGGAGAAGAAGAAGAAGAAGAAGAAGAAGAAGAAGAAGAAGAAGAAGAAGAAGAAGAAGAAGAAGAAGAAGAAGAAGAAGAAGAAATCTCTTCCTGACTAGTTCCTGCTTTTGTTGTATTCCAAATGGCCTGTGCTAACAAGTAGAGTGCATAATTCGTGGGGTTTTTTTTTTACTTCTTGGTTCACACCTGGAGATGCACAGGGGTTACTCCTGGCTCTGCACTCAGGAATTACTTCTGGTGGTGCTCAGGAGACCCTATGGGATGCTTGGAATCGAACCCTGGTTGGCCGCGTGCAAGGCAAACGCCCTAGCCCTACCCGCTGTGCTATCGCTCCAGCCCCTGAACACATAATTCAAGCACGGTTTAGTGTTCTGCTACACCTCAGTGGCCCTCCTTCCGTGGCAGGAAGCCCTCAGGATTAACCTCAGGGATGCTTAGGCTGAGAGCTTTGGCAGCAAAGCACCTCAGAAGCTGATTTTAGAGGTGACGGGAGGACAACCAGAGTGTGTGGGGGGAAGTTGTTTGACTTCCGTCCGTTCTGCATCAGTCTTAACAATATACTAGATCAGAGGCGTATCAGGGTCAAAAGTCAGCAGGGCGCTGAGTCTCTGGGGTGTATCACCCGGGTATCTCAGCTGTGACTTTGTGCTCATGGGGTGAGTTAATATTTGCATCACTGTTGCATTACATATTTTCGGTTGGACTTTAAGTGGACTTCGCGTCTGGCCATTTCACTGGCCCACTGAGCTGAATAAATATTTGTAGGTGGTTCTGTTGCATTGAAGTCTTTCTGCTTGCGAGTTTTAAGTGGGATCCATCTCAGTTCTCCAAAGATTTGAGGAATACCAGCAGGCCTTGACGGGGCTACTTGTTATAAGCAACTATATTGTTCGCTGAGAATCTAGTTTTCTTAATGCTTTTCCTGAGAAGGGATTTTAAGAAACAATCATAGGTACTAGTACAACAGTACAGCAGGGAGGGCGTTTGCCTTGCATGCAGCCAACCCGGGTTCGATTCCCAGCATCCCATAGGGTCTCCCAAGCACCGCCAGGAGTAATTTCTGAGTGCAGAGCCAGGAGGAACCCATGCATCACTGGGTGTGACCCAAAAAGAAAAACAAAAAGAAGAAAGAAAGAAAACAATAATAAAGGCTTTTAGCATAGAAATGTTATTTTTGGTGTCACACAACTTGAGAGCATTTTCCAGAACTCTCTAATTGATGTTTGCCATTTTGCTCACATGGAGATGGTTAAGAGACCCTAGCAAGTAAGAAATATAGATTTAGTCCCTGTTTAATAAATGCAATCCCAGGGGCCGGAAGAGATCCGGCCCGTTTAGCACAGCGGTAGGGCGTTTGCCTTGTGCGCAGCCAGCCCGGCCGAGCCGGGTTCGATTCCTCTGCCCCTCTTGGAGAGCCCAGCAAGCTACCGAGAGTATCTCGCCCACACAGCAAAGCCTGGCAAGCTATCCGTGGCGATTCAACATGCCAAACACAGTAACAAGTCTCACAATGGAGACGTTACTGGGCCCGCCCGAGCAAATTTATGAATAATGGGAGGACAGTGACAGTGACAGGGGCTGGAGGGATAGGGCAGTGGGTAGGGCACTTGCTTGGCATGAAGCCGACCCGGATTCAATCTCCGATATCCCCTAGAGTCCTCCAAGCCCAACAGAAGTGATCCCTGAGTATAGAGCAGGAGAAAGCCCTCAGCACTGTAGGGTGTGGTCCCAAGGAAAAAAAATTTAAAAATTAAAAAATATATATCTCTATATCTAATCGCACGGCAGAGCTAATCAATCCTTTTTTTTTTTTGGTCCACACCCAGTGATGTTCAAGGGTTCCTCCTGGCTCTGCACTCAGGGATCACTCCTGGAGGTGCTCAAGAGACCCTATGGGATGCCGGGCATCGAACCCGGGTCGGCTGCATGCAAGGCAAACGCTCTCCCCACTGTGATATTGCTCTGACCCCCTCTCTTTCACTTCAGTGCTGGCTTCTGGCTTTGGAAAGTTCTGTATAAATGGATATGATAGATTCCCTAATTTCTGCCGCCCTTGTCAAGGCCATAGCTCCATTCACATAAGTTTGGAAGCCTGTGTGCCCCCTTATTCTTCTCAGTGCTTCACTGGTGAGGAGGGAAAGACTAAAAATTCCCTGGAAATAAACAGCTCTGGAGGCTGGAGCGATAGCACAGTGGGGGGGGGGGGGGGGGGGGGCGTTGGCCTGGCACTCGGCCGACCCAGGTTCTATTCCCAGCATCCCATAGGGTCCCCCAAACACCGCCGAAAGTAATTCCTGAGTGCATCAGCCAGGAGTCAGCCCTGCTCATCGCCGGGTGTGACCCAAAAATAAAAATAAAAATAAAAACAACTAAAACAGCTCTGCACGAAGGTCAGTATCTTGTAAACACTCAAACTCAGTCAGGATTTCTTGAAATTGAGGATGCTATTAAACATAACCTAAATCCTCCTTCCAAACTCCACTTTTAACTGAACCAAATACAAGATGTATTCACAGCTCCTATAAAGCTTGACTCCTTGAGAGAGAGTAAAAGGGAACGTGTCTGCCACAGAGGCGGGGGGTAGGGGGGACAGGGGGAAAGGGAGGGATACTGGGAACATTGGTGGTGGAGAATGGGCACTGGTGGAGGGATGGGTACTCGATCATCGTATGACTGAAACGTTATCACAAAAGTTTGTAAGTCTATAACTGTACCTCAGGGTGATTCATTAAAAAATTTTAAAAATTTAAAAATTAAAAAAAGGGGCTGGAGCGATAGCACAGAGGGTAGGGCGTTTGCCTTGCACTCGGCCAACCCGGGTTCGATTCCCAGCATCCCATATGGTCCCCTGAGCACCGCCAGGAGTAATTCCTGAGTGCATGAGTCAGGAGTAACCCCTGTGCATTGCTGGGTGTGACCCAAAAAGCAAAAATAAAATAAAATAAAATAATAAAAAAATAAAAATTAAAAAAAAAAAGATGGGGTTGGAGTGATAGCCCAGCTGGTAAGGCGCTTGCTCTGCACGTGGCCGACCCGGGTTTGATTCCCAAAATCCCATATCGTCCCCCGAGCACTGCCTGAGTGCAGAGCCAGGAGTAACCTCTGAGCATCGCTGGGTGTGACCGGCCAAAAAAGCCAAAAAAAAAAAAAGGATAAATGATCGATTGTAGATAATAAATATAGAGGATAGATTAAAAAAAAAAAAAGCTTGATTTCTTTTCTTTCCTTCTAGGTATAAAGACCTTTAAAGGGCAATACTTTCACAGCCGACAGTACAAACATCCCGACATATTTAAGGACAAGAGAGTTCTCGTGATCGGGATGGGAAATTCAGGCACAGACATTGCGGTGGAGGCCAGTCACGTGGCCAAGAAGGTACCATTCTTCCTCTCTCGGCCCCTTTCTTTCTTGCAGCACCACTAAGCACCCCCGGGATAGACCTGATGACCCCAGAGCACTGCCAGGCTGGACACCCACCATCAGGCCTGTATGACTGGGCTGAGTATCCCCAGATGTGACCACCTGCCCCCTGGTCATTTTTATTTTTTAAAATAATTTTAATCTTTTTTTTTTGCTTTTTGGGTCACACCCGGCAATGCTCAGGGGTTACTCCTGGTTCATGCACTCAGGAATCACTCCTGGCGGTGCTCAGGGGACCACATGGGATGCTGGGAATCGAACCTGGGTCGGCTGCGTGCAAGGCAAACGCCCTCCCCGCTGTGCTATCGCTCCAGCCCCAATTTTAATCTTTTTAGTAACAAATTATAGATGATTATCTCTCACTGCTCTTTTCTCTTTTATTTTATTTTGGGGGGAGGGTTGGGGTGCTCCATACCCGGAGATGCTCAGGGCTGACTCCTGGCTCTGCACTCGGGAATTACTCCTGGTAGGTGCTCAGGGGACCCTATGGAATGCTGGGAATTGAACCCGCGTCAGCCACATGCAAGGCAAGCGTCTGGCTTGTTGCTCCAGCTCTTCTTTTCTCTCATCACAATTTACACTCACATACCAGTGTTCTCACCCCGGCCCCAAGTGCTCTCTCGGTTGCAGGAATGCATCCGATAACGTTAGCTTGCAGGCCCCAGGGAGCACTTTTCAAGTCTTCATGCTGCAAGTTACATATTCTAGAATATGTTTTTTTGTAGTCACGCTATAAACTCACTGAGAGTCACCCAACCCACAAATATCTATTAGCAACTGGCTTCTGAGATGAGGTATTGTGGGAGGCAGCGGAGAAGTCCCAGAAAACACAAACCATCGTGGAACACGGGGGCCAAAGTGATAGCACAGCGGGGAGGACCTTTGCCTTGCATGCGGTCAACCCAGGTTCAATCCCCAGCTTCCCATAAGTCCCCCGAGCACTGCCAGGAGAAATTCCTGAGTGCAGAGTCAAGAGTAACCCCTGAGCATCACCGGGTGTGACCCCAGAAAAAAACAACGATATACTTTGACAACAAAGTATATCATCATGAAACTCAATGTCCTGGGCGAGCTTGCCAGGAGAGAACACAGGAAACTGATTAAAACATTGCAAGAGTTCGGAAGAAAAGGAACCTGGGTAGTATGACATTTGGTATCTCCTTCCGGAGATCGCCATAAAGGATTTGAGAACTGAGTGATGGGGAAAGATTCAGCCCTGGGGCGGGGCTATCCTGAAAGAAGGTTCTCGAAGAAGAACACAGTGTAAAGGCCTGGGCCAACTGGGGTCCGAGGCTCAGTAATTCTAGTCTCTGATCTTGGCAAATGTCTTCCGAAAACATACCTTGGTACACCACATCCTCTCTACAAGAGCGAAGAAACTCTGATTGGCTCAGGACAGAATCCATCTGTACTGAGAAGTCCTGCACTCAGCACGAATCTGCCCAGTGATGTTGGGCGAACAAGAAAGAATACCATTACTAATAATAATATTAATCACCAAATAGACAAATCGCTGTCATGTGAGCTAAGGCATTTTCCCACGCCCCCGCGGGCATAGGAAAATAAACAACGGTTCCCGGAAGCGTTTTCTCTGAACGAGATTACAGGCTGCTGATGACACAGTTCTGTCTGACCAGTCACACCTGGGGAAGGGGATGTCCAGCCCGGGAGCCTCGCTGGAAATCATGCAGTGGCCTTGGGCCACAAGAGACCAGAGGTAGACGGTCCTCCTTCCTGGCTGCCCATGCACCTCTTTTGTATGGCCTGCAGAGGATGTTCTAGAAATCCAGGTGGACCCTGCAGAGCAAAGCTTCCCC